CACGTTTACTTCTAAGTGAATGTCCCAAAATACTGTAATAAATATCACCTATGTATTAGATGGCAATGCTGGAGCATTTTGTAAGCACCCACCCGCACAAAGTAGTTAAAGCTACAACCACTTCATCGGAACAGGCTCTAGTTGTTGTCCTTAGCTGGCTCTCTCTAGCAAAGATCCCTTTTCTTATGCTTTGTTCTATGCCCCTAGAGTTCTCATTACATCAGTTTATCAGATCTGGCCCCAAACTTCCATCCATGCCTGTCTTTATTCTCTCAAAGTGTCCTCATTTACCTGTAGTCCATTCTGGGTGGGTTTTCCTAGATTACCCACTCCTGTCTACCACCTTTCCACTTGCATTAATGCATTCCTAGTAATGCCTTTCTGCTGTCTTAACTTCTTTCTCTCTCTCCTTGCTTAAGCTGCAGATTCCTGAAAATTTGATCTGTGTTCGTAAATAAGAACATGCTCAAACATATCCCATCCCCTACTCTGTATTGTATTTCCTTAACATACTACTACGTGATTCCCTGCAGTCCGTCCCAGGGGCGTGGTTGAGTAGTACAAGGAAGATAATCTTATAATGAGGATAGCATGGGATCCACGGGAGCATCTTATTAGAGGAAGTAACTGAAGTGCGGTAGTTAATGTACAGTCACGTGTCCACTGTTTTCATTGCAGAAATGATGTTTGGGAAGATGTCACCTACTCCCTATTTGAGGAGTCCATGCAAAGTACGTGTCCAAAAGCACGATAACATCAAAACAAGTTCAGTCCAGATCATTATTTCTCAGAGACCTCATTTACTTTCTCCCCTTCCAAGTGAAAATAGCCAAATAAGTAGCGTGGCTTTCAACAGGGTCTAGAAATCACACAGGGGCAGCGTTTCTTGAAGATCAGTAAAGTACATATCAATGTACAACATGTACCTCATTCAGTAAGGGGACTCAGTGATACAGGTACGGATTAAATGTTCCTCCTATTTCAATATATCCCAAATAAATGTCAGCTAGGGAAAAGCAGAATCTGCATCACATGCGCATCAGACACATGGGACATCCTAATGAAAATAGGAAACCACGCTGCAGCAGAAGTCCTCCATTCTGTTATAACTGAGCTGTGCTCCTGATGGACTTTTTAACCATTCAGTATGCTGTTTTAAAGGAGTGGAGAAACCAGTAACCTGACCCTCCCTCAGTATTACAAGGAGATGTCTATTGAGGAAACTGGACTCCAAACACCAACAACTTCACAGTGGAAAATTAAGCTAATGAAATCAAGAAAAGTCACAGTCCTGCCATGCTTTCACAATGATGGCACAGAGAATGGGACTGAATTCACTCCTTCTTGAAAGGCTGTCTGTAAGCATTACAACATCTACTTGTGCCCATAGCGAGCTAAGCCGTAGCGCGAGCTCACTGCTGTCACTTTTTCTGCTTTCCAGCTCCATCCTTCTGTCCTGTTTCAGATTAGTTGTAAAGTCCACAGGCAAATTACAGTGCCTTTATTTTGTGGTTTGTATAATGCCTAACATAATGGGCCTTTGGGGGTTACTGCAATGGAAATAATACCACCAGCATTAAAAAATGTAAACAGTTTAAAAAAAAACTGCTGGATAGCTTTTCTTGTGGATTTCCTCTCAGGATAGACCCAAAATCTTGAACTAATTTTCATAGAAGAATTCCCCCCCCTAAAAAAAGACCTCTGTTAAGCCAATTATTCTAGGAAGTGGAAAATGACCACCAGTGACGTTGCTCGGAAAGTGAGGCCCTTTTAAACATAACCAATCCAAAGGCTAAATTTAAGTATGTTCTTTTTAAGAGGGGGCTCTTGGGAATGAAACACTGACAAACTCTGAGGATGATTGTAAATGACTTAGTGGTACCTATGGATGTTAAAAATGTCCTTTCAAACAATGGCTTTTCCTTTTTACTGAGTTCCTCTTGGGGTAGAAAAAGCAGGGAGTTAACTTCATGGTCTGAAAAACGTCCTCTTTTTGCATGAGTTTGGCTAGGATCCTGTCGTGGAACAGGCAACTTGACAGTACAGCACTGATCGCCTGATCTAGGAAGCCAGGGTTTCCATACTTCTGATTCGGCTCCTGGTTATTCAGCCTGTTCATTATAGTCCCTAAATCTATCCTCTTCACTTCCCAGAACAACCAGAATAGCTGCTGTAGGCCAAACAAGGTCACAAGGCACCTAATTCGACAACACAGAATATCTCAAGATACAAATTTGAGAGTAATTTTTCATAAGGGATGTGTACATAGTTACTTCTGTCATTCACCTTTATGGCATCGCTGCTGTTAAGTGGTTGAAAGGAATAATGTCATTTAGTTGTTTGTTGGCACCTTTCTGCACTGAGGTAGATTGGAAACTTTTGTCAGCACCTTTCTAGAGAACTTTTGTTTAAACAAATGGCTTGAGACTAATGCTAACATGGTTTCCCTGGATTATATAGATAGGGCCTAATTTTGTAAGCCAGCATGGACATTTGTGGGATAGTGTACTAGTACTGCTAATGGTGTGTGAAATCTCAGAGCAGGCTTGAGAGCAAAAAGGTTAAGCTGTCTCGGCTAATAACCATAAGAAAATATTTATACACGTCTCCTGTACTGCATCGCTAAGTGTAACTCTGCCTCTCATTGCTTGTGTGAGTCTATTCTTTAAATATCTTGGCTGGGGCAAATAATGCCCTTTTCCAACAAGTCTCTTTCTCTCTCAGAAGGACAAGTCTGAACGAATATAGAATATATATTCCCCAAATCTGAGTGTTCCCTAGCAAACGGTTTCAGCTCGGGAGTCAATCTACCTATCGACTTGGCACAAAGTCAATCTACCTATCGACTTCATCACTGCAGCTGGGGAAAGAGAAGATGATGTTCTGTGGGAGACGGTTAGAGCCACTGCAATCTCTGATAACCGATGGGGTGGAAACGAGGCCTTTCCTTGCGGCAGCCTAGCCCAGTCCCCCGTTCTGGGTGGACTGGACAGCAGTCAGTTGCTAAGTGGGTGCAACTATTCGATCCCTTCTCAGTTCCCTTTGTCTGGGTACAGTCTAGTCATGGTTCCCAGGCGCACGCTCCTTCCTCAGCCCGGCTGCCTTAGGGCATCTGAAGCCCTGGATTTTGAGACCGAGACCATAGTAACAGGTCGAATTCAATCTGGGTTTGTGCACTGCAGCTTCCTTGGAGGTGACCTGGCAGGAAAGTGAGGAAGATGAGCATCAGCAAAGGAACACTTTAACCATAGTCACTTTATTATTTAAAAACATATTAGGAGAGCTACAGACCTTTGCAAAATAGCAGAAGTCCTGAGATGCAGCCCCATCTAGTTTAATCCCATTCCTTCCATAACATGCTTCTGAATAAAGCTGTACAGTCACGTGCTTCAAACCCCAAATGCCTGATTCTATAACAGAGCTTCCTACAGAATTTGGATATAAAAGACAGCAAAACACTCTCTTTGATTTATTTGCCCACAAATTTCTGTTGCCTTCTGTTCTCCCTTGTGACCTGAGAATTTTTTTTATTAGGCCCACTGGGATAAATCACTACTCCCAAACCCCCAGTCAATTTGTCATATCAATTAAGATAATCATATGCAATCCTAAATATATTCCAGGCTACACAGCCCTACCAACTTTTACAAATGCTATTTTTTGATGAAGGTAACATCCTATTAACAGAAGGAGAGAGAAATTCTTGATCACGCTCTTAAAGGCCAGAGGAAAGAAGTCTATTGCATTAATAATCACTCAGCTGCTTAAGAGAAAATCCCATTCAATTTACTTGGCCCACCAAAAATGAAATCACCGTTGCCAATACAAAGCATGTCTATTCACATATCTTCATAAACCCTAAAGGTACAGCTTCTTTGAATCGCTTTTATGGCAGTGCAGACTTCAAACACATACAGTACCTTTGACAGGACTTTCTGAACTCATTTTTACTTTCTCAAAGTAATATCTAACACACACTTTTGCTTCCTCACTCATATTTGGAGCATTTTCATTTTTGCTTTATATTTATAAATAGGTATGCAACACACTAGGCATGTCAGAGAAATGTGGTGTAAAGTATCAACGTATATGTCTGCAACCAGGTTCTTTCTAATGAAGAAATGACAAAGGCTGTATGATCCTTTTAAGTATTCTGCCACTGTCATTAGCTCATTATAACATGACTCAACTTTATCAGCAACACTTTTTAATTCATAATTATCGGTGGTGTCTTATCATCCCACTTTGTCAGTTGTGTGGTAAGGAAATTGTTGTCTAGCAAGTTTGTCTCTCTGACGTGTAACTTCAGGTGTAACCAGCCCGGTGATGTTGCTGCTTTTAGTACTAACTTAATACATAGAAATGACACTCAAGCAAACTAGATGACGCTGGGTGGGTGCCTTGCATTGTTAGGATTGTCCTGAGCTTCAAGAGTTTGTTGTGCTGGGCAGCTTCATGTTTTTGGATATAACAGCAGCACTTGAATGTCTCACAACATTGAGGACCCATTCCTATACATGAATGCAAGTGTTCTGAACTGGGGTAAGTTGCTTCTGGATAGTGTACTGTGATGGAAAGTGTACTTTGGTGCCCAAAGGGACAACAGTGTGTCTAGGAGAACCTTAAAATGGTGGTAATTTTTTGTTTTTATGAAGTAAGGGGTATTTTGGGGGGTGGGGGGTGCACGAGAGAGAAATTTAACTCATTTTTTCCAAGGGCTATGTGACATGAGAAGCATTAACACTGAATGTTTTCAGAGGTGAAACAGGTACGGGGACTTCCATGAATATTGGTGTTAGTGAATGATAATTTGTGCTAGTGAAATAGTCTCCCAACATTCCTTGGCAAGAAGGACCTCAAACAAAACTACATTTTAAGCACGCTTTCCTCTTCCTCTGAAACCACAGGCAGTGTTGATCCCTGCCAGAGGGGGGATGCCTGGTGCGATGCAATGAGGAGCAGTCGGATGAGGTCCTGTAGAGGTTCTCGAGTGCGGGGCCATGTACAGTGCTGGGTGAGTCGGGTACAGCGGATGCTCCTGCAGCATGTTCCCCCAGGGAAGGAACTGGTACTTTTCATGCTGGATTCTGCCAGGAAAACAAATGAGCTTTTCATGTAGCTCCTTGGCCCTGCTACTGTAAGCCCTCATGACACTTCCTTCGAAGGGAAATATGTAGCCACTTCAAGGAAAATGAAAAGGGACATTTTTTCACGTGGTAGATTTTCTGTCTGTAAAGTCTTCATGGGGTACAGAGAATTGCTCTTCTGTTCTATTGCTGACCCTGACTAGCCTTTTCTAGGTACACACAAAAATTGGACGTAAAGAACATAAGAGGGTTACTCTCATTTTTCCTTTAGAAAATCTACATTAAAAAAAAAAAAGAAGAATAAATAGAAATGACTTCAGTTATTTTTTTCCAGGAACCTAAAAAGAAAATCCATCACTTCACATTGGCCCATTGTTTGTTTCTCTTTGTATATTTTTTTCTTAATTTGAACTATCGTGATTGTTCAATTGTAATGGGTCAGTAAGTTGGTTTTTTTTATTGGTATTAGAGGAGCATTAGGTCTCTCTGTGACAACTTGCAAAGTGAGCAACAACTCACTGTAAGGGTGGCACAACCAAGTTCCAGAATAATAATGCCCTTTTCTCGTACTTACTGTATCAGAGCTATGTCTTATATTCTGAATACACTCACAGCCCATTTCAATCTACTCTCTAGTACTAAGAGCTAGCATGACATTTTTATTAGTACATTAACCCCTGCAAATAGGCCATCATAGTAGTCTCTTATAAAATAATGATAGACTAGATGGTGGGACCAAAAGAAAAGATACTGTTCAGATAATCTAGAACACATCCTGTATCAGATTATACAAACTGCATCTCAAATAACTTTATAGACTGCAGAAATGTCAGAAGTTAGAGATCGTGCTTATAAACATATGCCTAGGCATACACATTGAAGGTCTTTGTGTGATGGTCGTAGGACTCAGTAAAAACAGATTTATCAGGCTAACAAGACCTCTTACACATACAGTGCGATCTAGAGGATTGACGGTTGCCTACCATGTCCTGCATGGCAATTGGACCAAAGCACTCAGTCATTACCCCAAGAGAGAAATTGAAGAGGGGCATCTCCAAGTTAATAACGTGCACATTAAACTCATTGATTTCAGTGGGATTGGTAGAGGTATACTGAAGATGAGCATTGGGCTCTATGGGGCATATTTTAAGGCTCTATTTTTTTCTGCTTGCCTTTAAATGAGAGTGCAATCTCAGCGTGTGCTTTGACCACCTCCCTCCTTCAGGCCCTCATGTCCTTGCACTAGTTGTATCCTCTCACTGCTTACTTTTGAGCCATTCCTCACATTTGAACTATATATCTCGACCATAGTTGTCTCCTTGTGTCTTGTCTCATCCCACCTATTCTGCATACAACTCCGTCCTGACGTCATCGTCGTCTCTCCAGTCTTCCTCTTCCACTACATCACCTTCCTTATCTTGGCTCCAGTTTTTGTCTCCACCCCTATTTCCTCCTGTTATTCCCTATAGGACCTCACCTAGCTGCTTTCCTTGTGACCTTCTGAATTCTATGCAAGAATTGCAATTTTTTTTTATTGGTGATAATGATTTAAATGGTACACTATTCTGAGTTGTGCTTCTGGTTCATCCTGTAAACATGCATATTAGCAGCATACATTTTCAAAATGTTTTATCTCTCCTTTTTATTTTGTTTTTTAAACCAACATTTTCCAGCACAAGAAGACTTCAGTTTAAGTCCCGCATTGAAGTCTTAAACCATGTGTAATGTCGTACCATTCACCAGTGGCAATCGTGACTTTTTTTCTTGTCTATCCGCTCATTTTGTTACAGTTGAACCAGGGCCCAAGAGTCCCTGGTAGTTACCAGAGAAGGGTAAATTTTGAGCTGAGTTCTGCCACTGGTGTCAGAAGTCACTAAGCTTGCTCAGAGGTTGATTCTCTTCTCTTCTTCCATCACTGTGCAAAGATTTCTGCCTTTATCTACACAGTAGTTTTAGTGTGACACCAGCCTTCCTATATTGCACCCAGTAGATTTAATATTGCTAGTCTGCTGGAACTTATTGGTTTTCTAAAGCTATATTGGTTGAAATATGAATAGACTTTTTAGATTTAGCAGGGCTGCATAACCACCAGTGCAGTTTATCAAAGTTACTCTGTTCCTCCTATTACTCTCAATATCTGTCGTAATATAAATGGCTAGACTCCCTTCAATTAAATACTGACTTCCTAGTTTTCCTAATGGTGGTATCATATCACCTCTAATACTGCTCTTGTTGAAAAATAACTTACACAAACATAGTCCAAAATAGAAACTTCAAACCTCAACACATTTTAATTGAACATCTGTGTCTGAATCTGTTCAAAAGGAAGAATTTTGAAAAATATGCTGATTAAAATGTGTGTATTATTTTTTGTATGAGAAAGGAATACCAACAAGCAATCTAGTCACATAATTTCTTGAAATTAAAAGGAAATTGAATAACTGACTCTATCTACTGCAGAAATATGATTAAGGATAACAAGGAAACTATTCCGCTTATGGGCAAGAAACCAAATCCACCTGGTACACCTCCTACAAATCACCAGGACAAAAAGGCAACTGAAAGCACTCTCCCAAAGAAAAGGTAGGCCCCAAGAGCTTCCCCAGACCAGCCAAGGACAATTGATTATGATGAACAGCAGATTATAGTGCTATTTGTAAGCCCTTTTATCAGCAGGTATCAGCATATATTAGCATGGCAATCATTGCTAATGGTTTTGTTGTCCATGTGCACGCAGGCAATGCATGCATCGGAGTCGAGGTGTGAGGTATTTTGCCCAAATGTGGGCAGGGTCTATGTTGCAGGAGCTTTAAAAACCCACCACCTCAGCCTTGCAAGATCTCAGATCACTTCATGGGGGTCTACCCACGTGTCTGAGCCTGCAGAAACAGGGTCTAGCAAAGCGCCGTGGTTTAAATGTGTAAGGGTATAGTGATCATCCGTAAAAGGCCATTCGGGGAATGGGAACAAAGAGGAGCTGTTTTGGCTGCAGAGATTAGGCACTTCCATAGTGAGAAGCATGGAAATATGACTAAGTGTGAACTATTAGGTTTAGGAAGGAGGCAAAAGGGAGAAGCAAGGAAAGAGTTGGGAACAGCATAAGATTTTCAGTTAAAAGGTTGGATTCACTCTGTTTCACGATCCTCATTAATGAGCCATACCACTGATCTCATGCTATGGAATAAAATATTCATTTTAATGCATGCTTCATACCTGTACATTAATACTCCAACTAGAGATTTGTGTCTGAATACAAGCTGATCATATTCATCCTTGAAATACCGCTGACGAATACATGAATTTACAATATCCTAAGGATGAATACGTCTCAAACGTTTGCTCTCTGATTTCTGCTTGTACTCTGTGGGTGATTTCCATTCTTTTGTTGACTGCACTGCACAGAATATAGCACAATCACATTTTTAAGTCCTAGGAAAATTTAAAATTGCTTTGGCACCCATTACAACTCTGTTGATAGTCTGAGGGATCGCATCTGTGCAGAAATGATGCACACAGCTGCTTGTGACTCCTCGTAATCTGAAAACTCATGAGCTGGCCTGATTTCTCATTCTGTTCAGGAAAAGACACGACCTTTGTTTCTGTCTGGCAGGTTTAACCTGCCTGAAAGTATAAGGGTAGCCCTATACAGACCTGTGCTGGAATTATTGTTCTTGTTTGTAGTACAGTGTGGGCAATAGGGATGTCTGATCTACTCCAAATACACCTAATGTTTCAAGCACAGGCCACCTTGCAGGACGCTGTCAAATTACAGCAAGTACATATGAGTTTTCCTATGGCAAATTCAGATTTCTGGCATCGATAGTAATAACCTTAGGGTGGCAGAGGCTCACCCATCTTTCAACAGGGAGCTAGGGTGTGGTAGGGAACATTCCTGTTACAGAAGAAACACCAATCACATGCATTTTAATTATAAACCTCCACCGTACTCCATTAATTACATGTGTTCATGCTGCCGTATATACTTCCTGCTTTTAACCATTTCAGGCTGGAGTGTTATACCCCCATGGGTGAGCCCAGGGGTAAATGCACTTCTATCTACGTGTAATCTCTCTTTCACAAGGCTTTTATTTTAGCAATAATTCATTTTAGAATTAAACCTTATTTGACATAATGAGGTAGGGATTAACCAGCTGCACATCATCTAAACTCAGGAAGATCTGGAGGCTGCCTGGGAGGAGTGCTGCCTGTGTTTCCTGAGCGTGACTAGGCTCATGGGGCATGTTCCCTGTGACACGTGGCTGGAATACATGAGCACTTGGGTATGTGTTGTCAGTGACTCATGGTGTGCCTTGGGTTTCCCCCGTAAAGCAGAGGATAGGTATGAGGATTATGCCAACCTTCAAGACGGGCTACAGTTAATGACAGCCATGTGCCCGTTTGATGCCAGGGATGCAGAGAGAATGGAGCTCCCCAGGCTGGAGGTCCTGTCCCTGGGGGTTTCCCCCACTGTAGGACAGCTGCCTCAGTGCTGAGCCAACACGCTGCTGTGTCCAGAGCAGGGTCCGTGCCACTCTTCAATAGCCATCTCCACTGCCTCCAGGGTTCATTGTAGCCATCGGCAGTCACTGTCAGCAAGGGCAGGGCTCCAGGCCTCCTTGCATAAAGTTTGCAAAACAATGGGATAAAGCTGCTCTCCCTCCATTCTTTCCCAGTCTTTGTGCCAAAGTCAGACATCAGCAGAGCTATATAGCCATTTACAGCTGCTGAGAATCTGGCACCTGTTTGTGTTAAGCAATGTCTCAGCTAACATGCTTCCTGTGCAGTGATCAGCCCTCCCCGCTCAAAGCAATTTCAGATATACAGTACATGCCTGCTAAACAGAAGTGCTATTTTTCATAGTCATATTTTTGGAATGTGCTCGCATGCACATATAAAGGCACTAAAAGGTCACTGAAGTTTGAACACCCACATGCAGTGAATCCATACTTTTTTTTTCGCCAGATGATCAAAACTGTCAACCAGGGAAGATATCTCACACTATTTTTGGCTTACATTGACAACTTGTTCAGTAGTAGCATAGCAGAAGGTGGAAAATTGATGCTCATGTGCTTGCTTTGACTGTATCTGAATATTTATTTGTAGGCAAGTTTAAAAGAAAAAGGGGGCAAATTCAGCACTGACATTCAGTTTGTTCTACAACCTGAAAGAATTGCAAGGTGACTGTCAGATCACTTTAGAAATTCAGGCAAAAACCTGCAGACTGTAGCCCCCATAGAAGTCACTTAGCCCACCACAAAATTCATCCATCGCAGGTAAAATGTGACACCTGTTTAATGACATCTATCAGTGACAAACCATTTACTCCTTCTTGCCAACACTCCAGCCTTTTAAAAGGCTGTGCCATCATAGTTCCTCACTAATTTTTTCCTATGTTGTTAAGCAACTCATCTCTTCCCTATCTCCTGTCTTAACTAAACACAGTGAAATTTCACTCTCCTGATTGTGGAAGTAGCACATTCAGACCTGGAGGGTTGAAGTGTCTTGTGCCATTTTAACACGTGACGCTTTTCAAGCTTTGCAGTGTTCTTCAGGGTCAGTGGCTTCAGGAAGGCTTCCTCTTGGTTCTTCCTGGCTGGAAAAGTGGTGGCTATTATATAAATCTTTCAAAGAGCAGGCAGATAGGGTGGGGAGGGGGGTCTGCATTTGATAATACATTCTTTTAGAGTGGCAATAACCTGTGTGTACAAAAGTTCGGTACAAAGTTGCTCCATTAAGTGTGGGACATGCAGAACGTGATGGGAATATCTAAATAATCCCGCCCCCCCACCTTCATGGCTACAACGTCACTCCAACTCTACTAGAAATATCTAAAGCTGTTCCTGGCTGAGAGTATGTGTATTAGTTTGTGTTACGATTTGATTTTCTTTCCTTCTAATAAACATTTAATACAATGTATTCAGCAGCTCACACTTTTTCCTCGAGCTCGATGGCTTTGACAGCAATTCTTCTCCAAGTCACGCATCTCCTCCTGTGTTTTCAAAACCCATGGATTCAAATATCCGCCCTTGGTAAGTGCAATATATGGCATATACACGAATTCCATTGTACACAACCGCTCCTGTTTGAATAACTAATCAGAAGTTCTCAGTAAAATACAACGGTGTCTTTACATTTCACGCTGGTTTTCATGATGCCAAAACTACCCTTGATTTCAGTGGGAGTGAAACCGTGGCCAAAGTTGGCGGTCTCAATCCTGAATTTTGTCCTTTCTTTTTTTTTGACAAGAGACATAGATTAATAAATTAGGCCCAAAATCTGATTAGCTGACAAGCAACATGGTGTTCTTTATTTCGAATCCTGTCTTTTCATTTAGCACTATCTTGTTAAAAAATTAGGGTCTGTGTCCCCCCTACTCCTGCTGATTTAGGACTGATAGTGTTTTGGGTTGTGTTGTAAAACCAGCAGAGGGAGCACAAGTCATCTAACAAGCTCTATCCTTAGCTCTGTGCCGGCATCCTTTATATTGGTGATGGTACAAAAGTGAATCAAACAATAGAGAGGAAAAACAAGTATTTGTGTTCAGGTAAAAAAAGCCATTTATGCCAAATGAGGAATGAGTGCAGAAAGAATCATTCTGTTGTCAGGGCTGTGCAAGGTTTGGGGTGTCAGCAAGAGGAAGCTGGATTGCACATCGCAGGTCAAATCCAGTCCTAGATGATGAAGACTGAATGCTTTTAAGTTCAATGGTGGTCTGGGGTTTTATGCAAATCAGCTGAATGTTGTTTAGTTTCCCAAAGATAGGTCCCCAAATTGCAACATCCCCAAATAATGACCATCCACCTTGCATCCTTTCTCTTTTGCAGAGTGGTCATGGGCAGACTGGGATTGCAATCTACAGGGCAGTGTGTGAAACCTAGCACTACTATCTGTATAGTTATTTTGTGCATAAGTAATGCCGGGTTTCATTCTCCTGAGTTTTTAGCTCAGGGTATTCTATAGCTGCTTAACCTGCAAGGAAAAAAATTAAAAATAAGCTATGAAAAGCAATTGCCATTTGTCCTCTTAAGTCAGATTTGCATTTAATAATTCTGCAAAGTAGGTACAGTATGTATTAAATACAACCTCCCTTGGAAGTATCAAAGTCAATCGTGCAAATCCGATTTAGAGCCTGGTCTTGAACTTCTTATAGGCAATACCAGCAGTAAGCACTGCACAGAAATAACTTTGTAAGTCATTTATATTGTGCATGCAACCCACACACAATAATTATCCAATTAAGAAGGAGAAAATGGTGGGGAAAGGTAGAATATAATGTAATATCTAGAGTGAAGTGAGAAAAACAGTATGAAAATTAAAAATTTTGGGGATCCTCAATGAAATAACAAGGGAAAACACGAGCAATCTTTTCACATAGAACTTGTCTGCACAGTAATCTTTGAAGGTTTTAATTTTTCTTATAGTTTGAAACACATAAGGAGAGCTGAATGATGGGATTAAAAGTACATCATCAAATTAATCTAATTACCATGCTTTCATTGATATTGCTTCTCACTATTGACTGATTCTTAGTATAATTTGCCAAGATGTCCTCCTGACTTAAGCACTTAACCTTTTCTGTGTTTTCTGTAGTGCATCTGGAAATGGGGAAGATATAGATTCCCCACAATCTCTTCAGGATGATATTACAAACACAGACAGCTGTTGGTAAGTGGAAGCATAATGTATTTCTGTGCTGCATTTTCCATGGATTAAATATATGATAGAGTGGATTTACTGATTTTTTGCTTGTCGTGATTTAAAAATAAGGTCCTAATAGACTTCAGTGCATATGACTAATACATTTTGAGTCTCATAATCAACAAATGCATGTTTGGAAATTGTATATCATGCATCCCCCTATGAAATCTTGGAGATCAAAGAAAGGAAAAAAGTTATAAAATTGTTTGCCTTCTGGTTCAGAGAGGAAATTTTGTACCTAAGCACCATGCATACAGGCAAGAGCTAATCTAGTGCATAACTGTCAGCACCGTGTAGAGGCAACACAGCCCCTTTTTTCTTTTTATGGTTAATCTTCACAAGAAAAATTGTTGTAGGATAGAAAAATATCAGCTGGGGTGGAAGTTATTGCCTTCTAGCTCAGCTCTCCTTAAAACACAAGAAAGGGGATGCTCTAATGGGTGGAATGAACAAATATGCAATACCAGATAACTTCTGAAAACCAGTAGTATGGCTGCTGGTTTTTATTTTGGAAATTCCTATTTGTTAGGGATAGGACTATTCAGTATCTGAATAGAAGACCTCTAGGGAAAATCAGATCTTGATGATTGTCAAAAGAAAAAATATCATTCTGGAATGTATTAACAGGAGAGTCATATAAAATACACCAGAAGTAATTATTTCACTGCTCAACCTTGTTTAGGCATCATCTGGAAGACGGTGACCAATTTGGGGTACCGCCTTTTAAGACATAGGCAAATTAAAGTGAGTTCAAAGGACAGCAACAAAAATAAAAGTGCCAAAAAAATGAGACCTAATGAGGCAATATGGAAAGAATTAGGTCTGTTTTGGTCTAGAAAAGAAAGAAGAGACTGACCGGGAATGCAACAGTCTTCAAATAAAGATTTAGGAGATGTAAGGCTGGACATCTTGACATTTCTAAGTGTATGAATAGCTGAAAGACTGGAACAGGTTTACCAGTGAGACTGCAGAGTCACCTTTATTTTGTAGCTGAGAATAGGGTAGAGAAATGCCTGACAGAGATGGTTTCTGTACACTTGACCCTGCCTCAGACAGGAGGTTGGACAGATGACCTGCTGAGGTCCCTCAAGCTTTAGATTTCTTTAGTTTTATGATGCATCAGTGCAATTTTTAAGGAAGACTTCTACTGCTGGAGATGCTGTCTAAATTTAAATCCTTATTGTGGTTAGTAAAACTCCCTTGGCATTCTCTACACAGTGGCAGCTATAACACTGGTCAAAATTTAATTTGGTCGATTAATACGTTCTGCTTCTATGCATTCAAAGCGGATTTCTGGTGGACTGTTCTGAGGTCAGAGATCCTGAGCTGGGGATGCTGGAAGCTCAGCCAGTTGGGCCTGATTTAGACTTTTTTTTTCAACATTTCTTCTTTATTTCTGAAAACCAGAACCTCCATTTTTCTCTGCCAGTTTTATGCATTGCATTGATACTCTGCTCTTGGAGGTTATCTCTAACCAGTCTTGGAACCGTGTCCAGATGAATCCAGTATTTTGTGCCAGGGATTTGTCATGCTCTCTGATATGAAAAGCCCTCTAGTGACCAGCCCATATGTTAGTCGCAAGTTCTTAGTGGAAAGTGGAGGATGTGTGCTGTGTAGGGGGATCTCCGAGCTTTATTCTTGCTCTGATGGCTGTTGGAGATGGACTATGCAGAGGCTGAGGGGCCTGCAAAAAGCCCCACACATTGTAAAATAATCCCTTGGAAGAATAACCATGTTCTGTAGTCAGATAATTACAATCAGCTTTAGTAGCTGTTTCTCACCAAATAAGCTTGCTGTAACAACATTGCAGATGGAAAGCACAAGTGTGTATGCATGCATTTATATAAACATGATTATGTTAATTAGCAACACATAATCACATTTCTTTTTCTAAATAACACATTGGTAGTAGTAGATTAGACTAGGTTATATGGTTCTTTTTCTTTTCTTTTCTTTAGTACTAACCTGCCGCATGGAGCTCAACAGAACAATGTCCGGAAAAAGCTGAAGAAGTATTTGTTCAGGGCAGTATCTGAGGGGAATATAGAAGAATTATGTCATCTCCTCATAGAAATAAAGGAAAGATCAAACGCATGTAGAAACATGACTGTGCCAGGTAAGCTGCTAGTGAATCAGTGTTACTTCACCTGATACCATGGCCACGCATGTGGCAGAGACATGACTGTTTGTTTTTACAGAGGAGTAAGGTGGCTCATTTGTTTGAATGTCATGTTTAGGCCTTAGGAAGAGGAAGAGCATCAATTTAGCTACCTACTAGCAGATAATGTAAGATTATTTCTGATGGTCCAGCACATCAGCATGCACAGCTATAACTCTTCAGGGTGAATGTGATGACTGAACACTGCAGAGGAAAATAACTATATGTACAGAGCTGCCTTTTTTTACCCTCTGTGCTATACTGAGGGTATCTCTACATCACACAAGTTTTCTATTCCACTTCTTGTCTGGATTTTGCAACTGGTGTTGAGCTTCATGCTGCCATAGCCACTCTGTTTGAAATATCCCAATAGCTCTTCGAAAGCTATCTCTGATATGTCTGCATGGACTGCAGTTGTGCTTGTTGAGTGTAATAAAGATAAGCACTTTTAGATGCATGTAGAAGAATAAGTACTGAACTGAAACATAGAAACTGCTGCTTTTAAACCTAGTTATAGTTAGTGAGAATCATAGATGAAAAAGACCTGAGGATTTCAGGATTTGGCCAAAGGTTTGGTATATATTAGCCAGTCGTAGTAAGTTAGCAATGGATAAACCAGTCTACTGGCTTGACTGATTTGTGAATATGTGTGTTTCTACATTTAGGTACGTATGGAATGCAATGCTCAAATAAGGGAATGGGAGTAGACCAACTGTTTGCTGAATAGTTTGTGTATATGTTTTTGTTCCCTGGTAACAAAAGGTTGGAATTCTTTCCTTGCTTTAGGAAATAACAAAACCTGCTTAGATTTTAATCTCAAAATTCAATTGTTACAGAATATCTGATGAAAAAATTAACTGCTTCTGATACTGGGAAAACCTGCCTGATGAAGGCCTTGTTGAACATCAACCGGAACACAAATGAAATTGTGAATATACTGCTCTGCTTTGCAGAAGAAAATAGTATTTTGGAAATATTTATTAATGCTGCATACACAGACGAAGCCTACAAAGGTATCACCATCCAGCAGCCACTTCAAAATAATGTAATTTCTTCAGACTTTTAAACAAGAGTCCAAATTATTAAAGTTATAGATCGTTTCAATGATAATTTATAGTGATGATGCATCATCAGTCTGTTTAGTGTTGTACAAAGCACAAAAAACCTTGTCCTTATGCTCCTAATGCGTGCATATTGCTCTTGCAGGCCAGGCTGCTCTAAATATTGCCATTGAAAGAAGACAATATGATATTGCCAAGACCCTCATAGAAAAAGGAGCAGATGTCAATGCCCATGCAGAGGGTGTGTTCTTTAATCCCAAATACAAGCATGAAGGCTTTTACTTTGGTAAGTGAAAAACATAGTCTACCTGGGAAAAGACTGGTTTGTAATACTGGAACAATTAAACCATCAGGAGACCAGTCTCTTACGTTAACTGGACCTAGATTAGTGAGCTCCCATAAGCTATAAAAGGGACGATGGGCCTCATTCTAAATGCAAAAGAATTTTCTCATGCTTTGCTGTATCGCAATAAGTTCCTGACAGACAGACCACACAGACAAAGCAAGTTTTTGCCCCTACAGAAAAATAAGGAAAGTCTTTATCTTGAGACACTCAGATTCTGGTTATGTGAGGCACAAGCAAACAAATAATACCCCAGACTACCTCTATTATAAACACGGGGGTAGACCCAACGGGAGTCCTTTCTGTTCATTTCATGGGGCTTTGGAGCAGGTGCAGTTAATAAAGGAAGAAATACCTGTCACGCAAGCTAGAAAAGAAGCCACCCAAACTAATGGTTAAACAAGTCCAGCAACAATGCAACTCAGCATTGTGAAGGACTAATTGCACAAGGTCCTTTTACACTTTGTCCCTACAGAATAGATGCTTGCAAAAGACCAGGGTGTAGGATGAGCTTATACATAGTGCAGAGTGAATAAACACAGTGCATGGATTTCAAGCAATATATACATTTCTTATAGAGACATGAAAGGTCTGTGTGCTTATTTTGTTTAATTGGGTATTTCGTGTAAGTGCTTGACATAACCCATCACACGACGTTAGATACATTACCATTTGTAATGCAAATCACTATGCGATAAAGAGAATACAATTTGCTACAGTTTAGAAAAGTCCGTTCAGAAACAGTTTTGCAGCAATTGTTTTCAAAGACCGAAATTTGTCAACAAAAGTGCATGTTTGCAATTACAGATCTTCCTCAAATAATGATTTCACATAAACTTAGTTTCTCTTCAACTTTATATTATTGTGCTCAGATTTTAATTGCATGTCAAAATAATTATTCTGTTACTGTTACAGTTCTGATTCTTATAATATTTTTAATGGATAGCTATTCCGTATTGTACTTTCTTAGGTGAAACTCCACTGGCATTAGCTGCATGCACCAATCAGCCAGATATTGTTCAACTGCTAATGGCCAATAGCAGGACTGATATTACCTCACAAGATTCCCGAGGAAACAATATATTGCACGCATTAGTTACAGTGGCAGAGGACTTTAAAACCCAAAATGACTTTGTAATCAGAATGTATGATATGATTTTACTGAAAAGTAAAGCTAGAATGTTGGAGACCATGAAGAATAAAGACGGTTTGACACCACTACAATTAGCTGCAAAAACTGGGAAAGTGGAGGTAAGGCTCGGTCTCCATATTAAATTAAATATGCAGAGAGAATCTAGGTTGTCCATCTCTGTACTCGTATCAGTAGTGTATACGTTGTTGATCACGTACTATACGTTAATCATGCTGGGTCAGCTGAGATCATTTAAAGTAAACCAGAAAACTCCATTAGTTGCACCAGGTTGTTCCTTGTATGAGTCAGATTCTTTCAGGTCTTCATAAATATCCTCCTAGCAGAATAAAATACCTATGTCTTTAACGCATCTTGCAAACCCGTCTTGTGAGGGAGTGATTTGAAGAATGTAATGACTCCCCTGCTAAGTTATCTGCACGCATGGTAACAAAATGCACTAGCATCTTTGACGTGGTACAAAGAAATCCACAGTATGTTCAATGCAATGAATCAAGGACATTACCAAGATCCAGTTCTGCATATTTTTCTGCCCTGCAAATAAGGCATGTTGCAGACAGAGTGGACAAGCCACAACCATGTCATATGGTATCCAATGCAAGCTAATGAGATGAAGCAGCCATTTATTTTTGTGCAGGCACAGCAAGAGTAAAGTTTGGTGTGGTTCCTGAAGCGACCTGGAAATTACCAGCTCGCTTAAAGGATGGTAACTCCTACAGCAGTGGTTTTCATTTCAACCTTTCAGACTCGAGACATGTCTCATTAAGGTCAAGGCACCTGTTGGAAAATGCCAGTCTTAGTTTTCAACTTTTGACTACAGAAAAGTCATAGAGCAGTTCTTCTGTTCTAAACTCAGAAAGACCACAGCTGGTCAGTATGGATTCCTGTTTGAAATCTCTGGGTTTATCTTGTGAATCATATTTGCACACCTAGCAGTGTGTTAGCAGAGCGTCCCATGGCACCTGTGAAAGGATCCCAAGGCTCCCTGGTTGAGAATCAGAGTCCTATAGCGTTGAATGGCCCTTTCGGGATTCTGCATTTATGCCTGCTCATTATATACATGCTCAAGATTTAAATCGCATGAGTTGACCTGATCAACTTTTGTAAAATTAAATCTTTCAAAACCTATTAATATAAATGCTTTAATGATATTTACAAATAAAAATACGTTTTGTTTAAATTTAAGAAGTTTTCCTTTCAGCATTTTCAGTTCAAGCGGTGAAGTTTTTGTGCTGACATGTGACAAGTAGAAAATGAAGTAGACTTTGCTCTTAATTACACAAGCGTGTCTCTGGAGTTGTTCTGTATGGAACGACAGAATAGAACTTGGCCCTTGGAAAGCAACTGCTTGGAGTGCTTGGTAAATAATTAACAGTGGAATAAATTAGAAAGTCATGATTAAAAGAAAAGTTAAACAAAAATACCAAGTGGAATGTATGGTAGATTTGCTTTAATTGGAAAAAAGTGCACATGTAATAGAAAATTCAAAGCAATTAAAGAAAACCGTACATATTTCACAGAGCTCAGTCATCTATAATATCTCCCCTCAATTACTAAAAGGTTAATGGAATTACAGAATACGTTTAATTGTGCCGTTTTGGCAAATGTGACAGTACTTTATTTTATTTTTTTGGCAAGTGTGCCCTGCTCTTGCTCTCTTCATTTAGAAGACTACCCTCACAAATGATTCTATTAATGTTTCAGATTCTGAAATACATTCTTAGTAGAGAAATAAAAGACAAGCCAAACAGAAGCCTTTCCAGAAAATTCACGGATTGGGCTTATGGACCTGTTCAATCTTCTCTTTATGACCTGACAGAACTAGATACCACCGTGAACAACTCATTACTGGAGATTATTGTTTATAACACAAATATTGGTGTAAGTTGCCTGTCACTGAAAGCTGTATATTTTCTAGCAGTATATTCACTTGCAGTTTAAAAACCCATAAAGTAGCTGGAGAATTTGTGTAACTGTTATTAAAAATGCAACTTTAGTTGTCACTTTTGCAGCAGAAGCCACTATCATAAACGGAGCCCTGTTATGCTTGCCTATTAGTTCATATCCCAACATAGGATTAGGGCGTTACGTTTTGTTGCGCAGTTGGGGCGTAATCTGTTGTACTGTAGTTTTTAACTGTAAGAGCCATCAGAACAAGCTGCCTCGGGAAGTTGCAGTCTCCTTCATTGGAGGTTTTCAAGAAGTGGCTGGCTATGTATCTATTTGAGTGGTTGTAGAACTAGTGGATCTGTGAATGAATAAAAAACCTGGGGCCGGGGTGGACTTAGTGACAATTAGGGTTCTTTCAAATCCTGGAATGCTGTCATTCTCATGGCACCTAAAATGGTTTTGGGCTAGTGGGTCAGCACGCCGCATCTCCCCTCTCAAACAGCCGCCTGCTATCCTAGCTGTAGCTTCGTTAAAAGGAAGTGTTTATTGGGGATCACTAAGAAGTAAATTTCCTTTGTGTATCATTGTTCTATAGATCTAAGCAATGCATTAGCAAGAATTTTTCACTCTTTAAAAGAATTTGGTTTTCTACTAAATTTCACATGATTATCATCGTACTTTCACCCGAGCAAGGTGAACTTGATTTAGGAGATAATCGCGCATGCCAATTGCTGTAGCGCCAATGAATTATGCCACCTGAGGGTCTGACTTGTCTAGTCATTGAACAAAGATGTTAATCTAGATTAACAGGAAGAGGCCCTGAAATGAAGCTTATAAAATATGCCCTTGAAAATTTGGGGGATTTTTTTTATATTCAATCACTAGTCTTTTTCTCTTGCTTTCTAATTCTCTTCTTCTACAGAACCGCCATGACATGTTGACTTTGGAGCCCCTGAATTCACTACTGCGAATGAAATGGAAAAAGTTTGCAAGACACATGTTCTTTATTTCATGTTGCTTTTATTTCATATACAACGTAACATTAACACTTGTCTCCTACCACAAGCCCCATGGAGAGGAGGTATGCACATCGACTGAAAATTCTCATCAATTTTTTATTTTAAAATGCCATCTTCCCCAAACCAGATTTAACATGCGTGGCAGATCAACAATACAAATAAATGATATACTGGTTCCTATGAAGTAAAAGAGTTTTGGCATTTGGCTTCAGCGAGGGCAAGGTTTTCCACATTGGGTTTATTAATTGAAGAGCAAGAGCAACAATTAAGAGAAAAGAGAAACTCATTTGAGTCTTGCAACAACAGACCAGTCACTCTTTGATGTATGTGTGTGGGGATGGTGGAAATTGTAAAGTTATTTCTTTAATAATAGAGAAAAATAATCACATTTTAAACAGCCTAAAATATGTTATGTCATTTTGGACTTGACCCTGTCAGTACTCCATGCAAAAAACTCGTATTGAAACCAATAGTAATTCTGCCCAGACAGTCCTGGGGATTGGACCCTGTGTCAATACCTTTTTATTTGTTTAGTCTTCAGATAACTAACTCAAAACATCCATTGTTCACTCCTGCCCTCTTTTTCAGGATCCACCTTATCCATTAATTCTGACTGGTAACATGGGATGGCTACATCTGATGGGACAACTGTTTGTTATGCTAGGGGCATTAGGTTTAACTGTAAGAGAGGTAAGACATGTCCAGAATTGATTATAATATTGTATGCATAAATGTCTTCTGCAGATTTATAAACAGTTTGGTAATAGTTTTATGAACATTTTAGAAGCCTTTACAACTTGTGTAACACCTGGAATTACTTGGTTAACAGCTAATGAATGAGCATAAGGGTGTTCATCATTTCTAAGGACCCTGTATATATACTACTATAAGTGATACAACATGAAATGATGCGAGTATTTTCTATTTGAAAGAGTGGGAACAAAATAGCCAGGTACAGACATCACAGTTTTACTAGTATAAGTGATCAGAAATCAGTTTATACCCATAGGAGAACAAATGTTTAGAGCACAAAACTGGTCTATACCTGTAACAGAACAGAAGTTCAGCAGACGCAGACTGGATTAAAAATGGCAGAGCCCGGTCTAAGCTTTGCCCCTTTGTGTGTTCTGTTTGCAACTGATCTAAACTTACAGAAAATCACATAACTTAGATCAATTCTACCTCGGGCTTTTTGAATGTCTGTACCTAGCCAAGATGGACAAGGTTCTTTGGGTAAATCCTAGCCAGTGAGTTTTAACATACAGAGAGCATACCCAACTTTTACTCATTAGGCAAGGTATTTTAGCCAAGGTGTCAGTTTAAGGTCTTTAAGTAAGCAGAACTGCTTGTGTCCTTGAAGTGGTTCATGTTTTAAATTACAGTATTGGATTAGGGCTTGTCCCAGAGAAGACAAAGATTTATGACAGATTTTTCCAGTGAAGCATTTAAATAGACATTACTGTTAAATGTTTTTAAAGTTAACTGTTACATACAGTTGAACAAGCAGACTAATTTCTTAAACATTCTGGAAAAGTACCTTTTGAGCTATTACAGAAAGACTAAAACTAGTTGTTTGTATTGAATTTTTAATGATCGGGTAATATTTTGCAACTTTTTTTTACTACTTTTAAAACCTATTTTAAAAATGTCTCTATGTAGAGCGTAGCAATCTTTCTGCTGAGACCCTCAGACCTTCAATCAATTCTATCAGATGCCTGGTTCCACTTTGCATTGTAAGCCTAACATGTAAATAATTGTTGCTTCTGAAATAACGTTCATTCTGTTAGCTATATATCTTTGAGTTGCTGAAAATATAAGACTTTTGCTGTCGATCACATTTCTTTACACTTATTTGCGGCAATATTATCATTTTAGATGTAACTTTAGTGTAAGACACTGCTCATTATCTGGCACCATGTTTAGTTAAACTGATCAGTAATTATTCTGAATTAATAGATGCAAACTTCTGCCCCCCAGAGTATTTGTTCAATATATGTGGCTATCTCTAATTTCTTGCGAGACTTTATTTCTAAAAGTGCTGTAGGATAGAGGGCTATATTTTGTTTAAAAAGAAATAAGTCATTGGGCCAGATCCTGACCTTCATCATCTTTGTATTGCTTTGAGAAAAAGCTAATAAAGCTGGCCTTACTGGCTGGTTGGGGCTTTTATATATGGGAATCCTCAAGTGGCTTGAAGTCAGCATTGGGATTCCTGTTCTATCCTCTCCTGGTCTTGGCAAAGAAACATGACTGGGGGATCAGTCAAGATCCTTATACTATTCCTAGATAATCCTTTCCTATTGTTAAATTATACTAATACACACAGGAAAAAGCAGGATGGGAAAGTGAAATTAGACGTTAAACTTAAGGAAATAAGGAAGTTCAATATTACTGTTCTCCATTATCTATTTTAAGTGTGTGTGTTGTGGAAGAATATTTACAAGATTTTGTTTTTAACAGTTTTATACAAGCCGTGCTTGTGATCTTCTCTGTCTTCCTCTACTACTTTTCCTACAAAGAATACCTTGTGTGCCTTGTTTTGGCTATGGCATTAGGATGGGCCAACATGCTGTATTTTACCAGGGGGTTGCAATCCATGGGGATATATAGTGTCATGATCCAAAAGGCAAGTATACCATTTGTAGCTCTTCGTTATATTACATCCTCGCTGTGTTATATTTACTTAGTGTATTTGGTAAATCTTAGTCAGATATGTTCTTCAGTTTGGATGTTGCATATACTGTATTTCAAATATTCGACACTGACAGTTCCAGTTTTTTTGGTTTCTAAAAAATGCTTGAGATCAATGTCATACTTTAAAATAATCATAAAAAATAAGGGGGATATCATACTAATTACTTCTGAGTGTTAAATATACTTTTAAATCAATTAAACATATTCAGCTGATAGAGTTTTCATATTTAATTGCATTTTATGCCAAAATGCTTTATCTGGGAATAGTGTTATATGTGATCAAGCTGTGATTATATAGCCATTAATGCACAAGAAGTGGGGCCAAATCATAGAAAATCAGGTCAACTAACTCTTTTAGGTTTCCACTGTTTACAAAGTAACCATAACAATGGTTCATAATAAAATTAAACACTTTTTGATAGTTGCACCATTTTTATATCACTGCAAAAACAACTTTTGGCTCTATTTATGATAAACACTTTCTCTTTTTTTAGGTCATCCTACATGATGTGATAAAGTTTTTAGTTGCATATATCATATTTTTGCTGGGATTTGGTGTAGGTAAATATAATTTATTGACTATTACTGGAGCAAACATACTGGTACTTTTCTGTGAGATTAAAGGTTTAGTGCTATTATGAATAACAATACTGTTGTTCTGGTGACAAATTTCCAGATAGAGGTAGGTGCTTCTTGTGGATATTTAAAAATCCATTTTGTGGGAGTGTTTAAAATATCTGTGTAGATAACTGTATCCTCCCCAGCTAAATGGCCCCTTTTTAGTTTCTCTTGGTCTTGCTTTGCTAAATTGTTATCTGCTGTTGCTGTATCTTACTGGATTGGTTCTCTATTTCCTTTCAAAATGCAGTGGGTGAAAAGTAACCTCTCTCCATAGTATGGATTGTACTACTTTATTCTTTGAGATATGAGATGTATACACGTGAAATATATCTTTTTTTCCCCATTTTCTTTCTCCTTAGCTCTTGCTGCATTGATTGATCCTTGCCCCAATAACACCGAATGCCATTCCTACAGCAGTCTGGGCAAAGTTCTCATGGAGCTTTTTAAGCTCACCATAGGACTTGGAGATCTGGAGATCCAGCAGAATTCAAAATATCCTCTGCTCTTCCTTCTTATTCTCATAACTTATGTAATACTGACTTTTATTCTCCTTCTGAATATGCTGATCGCATTAATGGGAGAAACTGTGGAAAATATTTCTAAAGAGAGTGAGCACATTTGGAAACTCCAGGTTTGTTTGCAATATTAAACCAGAAATCATAGCTTTTTCCCCCACTTAGTTAAGGCCCATCCACTTCTAGTTTGAAAGAGAACTTTGTAAAAATAACAGATCGTGTTAAACTATATTTAAGTTTTGATTTAGTGATAACCAGGCTAGCTACATATTGTATTGTTCTTCAAACTATAGATGCAATGGCCAAATTCTCCTCTGAGCTGCAGCCATGTAAACTTGGAGCATCTCCCCGGAAGTCAGAGCAGTTAGAAACAACAATGGTAGACAGTAGATAGACAGGTGGGACAAATAATAAATAGTCCTCCAGACTTAGACAAGCAAAATTTGAAATAAATATTTGGTCCTGTAATGTTAGCACCTATAAAGAAATGTTTAATAAATGTGATACCTGTAGGAAGTTCTCTGTTTCCTATTTGTTTACACACCCTTGGCAGGTACATCAACTGAATTTAGTATTAAATGGTATTTCCTACTGTTGATGTCAGTGCAGATTATAAAATCCCTTGGTAGATAGACAAAAAGAACATAACGGATCATATGCCAACAATGACCGTTTCATAGATTCAGAAATTCACTTAAATATGATATGAAATCTATAGATGCAGTGAGGAATACACTTATATTAAACATGGTTAAGAACGCCACACTAACATTATAATATATTTTTGCCAGAGAGCCAGGACCATTTTGGAATTTGAAAAAATTCTACCAAAATACCTGAGGAAAAAGTTCGAGCTGGGAGAGCTGTGTAAAGTAGCAGAAAATGACACTAGATTATGCTTAAGGTAATAATATACTAACACACTTTTTAATCTGGCATGTGTGCTGCTTTGGGGTTTTAATGCACACAAAAGTCAGTTCAAAATATTTTTGTTTAAATATATAAACTATTTTTTACTGGTTTAGATTTTGTAAGTAGGAACAGTAATTTGTTTACAAAAATCTCATTTAGAATTTCTACTGCAAACAGCTGTTTAATAAAACTGGAAATATGTAGTCTTGCTTATACACAAATCATCTTTTTGTGGGGATTTTATTTATGTTCATATACGATTTTAATGCCCAGTCTCTAAATCTCTGTTTTGCAGTACATTTTAATTGGCTGTAATCTCCTTTGAATGTTAATTTAAAATGACCATTTGTAATTGTTGCTCTTTAACTGCAAAATATTACCAGACTTTGAGAACATAATCATCTTGATGAAATGTGAGTTCTAAACCAGTATTAACAATGCGTGAAAATATAGAATAGGTGAATACATTACATAATGTTGCAAAATACACGCATTCTTTTACTACTGGCAAAACAGGTATTTGATGATATTGTGACAATTCTGAGAAGTAATTAAGAAACAAGAGAGGAACTGTAGCTATGAAGCTGGAGATAATGCATGCTAATTATGCAATTTGTATACAATATAAACAGGATTAATGAAGTGAAATGGACCGAATGGAAAACGCATGTTTCATTTATTAATGAAGATCCAGGGGCAACAGGTATCGTTATCGTAAAACTTGTTCTATTTGAATGAATATACAATTTTATAAAGGCCTTCCTTGTTATATTTGTTCTTATAAAATATTTAAGCAGTTCTTATATGTAAAGCTGAATGTTGTTAAAATGTAAATTGTAATAATTCTAGCAATATAGCAAATTGTCTATTCCCCGCCCCTACAAGCCTAATGATCTGCTTCTCAGAGGTTTATTGAAATCTTGCTTTCTTTCACATTTAAGATGATTCCTCAGAAAAGAAAACTCTGGAACTTTGTCTCCAATTCCTACTTTTAAATGTGAACTTGGGCCCTCACTCTGTTTGTATTGTGCAGTTGGACCCTTGTGTCCACTGATGAGTGATGCTCCATATAAGAGGAAGGGTCTGCTAATACACAACAAAGGATGAAGGCCATAAATATGTAGGAGCCAAATTATCCAAGGTATTTAGGTATCCTAAAAATGGAAAGAGGCAGATTGCAAAATTTGCATATCTTCCTGATTAGGTAGTTCCTCCTGGCTGCTTGCACCATAATAGGTCCTATTAGTTGCATTTTTAGCTTTGTTGCAGTCTCCTTTCTCACCCTTTTGTTATTTAGAAGAGGAATAATAGAACAATAGCCTAATTTGCAGATATTGCAGATGGCAAAAAAATACCTGTTTGAGTTCTGTTCTGATTTAAATATGCATATATGTTGCTTAGTAGAAAAAAATCTCAGCATTATCAAAGAGGGGGACAAAGATAAAATGTAGTCCTATACAAAATATGGTAGCATATATAGACCTTATTGATTAATTAAATTCATGTATTTTAAAATACAAACACTATCTGCCAAACTAGATTATTGAAAAGAATTTCTTCTGTAGAATATTTTTAGCAAATATTTTTTCTTTTTTTCCTAGATTACAACAGAATTCAAGATAATTCAAGAAGTAATAGCAAAAACACCCTGAACACATTTGATGAAATGGACGATTTGCGAGAAACCACTGTTTAGTTGCGCAGTACTTCATCTTTAGACCCTTAAAAAAAGGACCCGCAAAGATACTGGAATCCTAATGTGTTTGTACGTCAGGCAGCTACAAGCAGGCGGAGCAGCTTTCATGGACTGACAGTCCAGTGACTGCAGTCCACATAATCATAAAATATCAGCGCAAGGAATAAGGACTGTTCTGTCTTGGCTCAGTTTGAGCCCCTTGAACAAAACCACTTGTGTCAGACTTGTGAGAGAATATTCAAAGATGGTTCTTGATTTTTTTTTTTGTATCGGTTAAAAAATAATCAAACAAAGGTAGTATACAATATTTGTACCTTTTGGAGATGTTATTCAGATCTCTTTTGAGGCCTGACATTCTAGCATCTCTTCTAGTATCTCTAATCCATGAGAAACCATTTTTATACTGAAAATGATGAAGTTTTTGGAATGTGAAATAAGACATTTCAGCTTTGAAATAAAACCACTCTATGAAGTATGTCATTTTGAAAGTTCTGGATACAATCGGTGCTTGCATGGCAGTTGTCAGTGTTATCATTATAGGACTGACTGATCTTGCAAGTAGGGGTGGGGGTGGGAAGTGACAGAACCTCAAGGGAAAAGTCTTGCAAGATCTGTCTCTTTGTCTATAATGCCCAGGGTGAATATACATGTCTGTTTCTTTTTCCTTATTTGTACTGTATAAAATCGCTTTCATAAAAGTAAAGGTCAGGAAAATTAATTCATTTCAGGGGGGTTATTGTTTGGGTTGGTATAAATCACTAGGAGTTTGGCCTTTCGCTATCACCACTGAAAAATCCAGTGCGTGTTTGTCTTATTGTTTAAACAACGTACTTGTTACCACATCTGGAGTTTTCTTGGGTTTTAACTTAACTCCTAAGCTCATCTACAAGTACACATAAATATTTGTCCACAAAGAAATTTTTAATAAAAGTATTTGTACTGTAATTCCAGACCTTTTAAGCTCCTTTCTGCATTCAAAACACTATGTTGCACTTTTTGTAGCACTTTCTAGTTGACTGGTTATCAAAACTTATAACTATGAATGGTATTGTTTACATGTGTATATATTAAATGCCATATTTTTATTTTAAGCATGTTGAAAATTTGCTAATATTTCTGTACAATGTGCTTGAATCTTCATGGCTTCGATAAAATAGTTTGTTTGTTGAGTTATTTTAAAGATAAAAAGAGGCACTCAGAAAAGATGAAAATCCCGATATGTGTTTTGTGTAGTAATAAGAACTGGATTAGATCCTTAGAACTGCCTAGCCAGACCATTCAGCACCAGTATCTTTGAGTCACAAGATGACCATGACCAGGTTGATGATGAATAATAAGCACAGTAGATCAGATTCTGTTCTTTTTTATATAATATTTATTTAAAGTTAAAGACAAAACATGATAATTTAATAAATATTTAATTTTCTCTGTCATCTTTGGCTCTTTTGTGTTGTATTATTGCCTTCATGTTAGAGTTGGAACACAAGGTAAAGATAAAGGATATTGGTTGGCAACAATGGATAAGGAATAGATCACTTCTCAAAGGAAAAGGGAAATATCATACTTTTTGGTCCATTAATTTTATTTATTCATTCTTTTTTGGTTACCTAAATAAGGACACTGGTAGGAACACAAGATTTCTGGGAGCACTGCATATGGCCTTAGCACGTAAAGCAGTGTTAACAAATGTAGAGTTATAATCAAAGAAGAAAATGTTCTGAATTTTTCTGTATATACCATATTGCAGCCAGTGCACAGAAGGGAAAAAACGTAATTGTATACCCCAAACGCAATGTATCCCACTTCATAAGATATCATCCGCCCTTTATTTCAGGGCTCATATGAAATATCCACCTGTATTTCAATTTAAGCACAGTTCTGAGTTCTCAAGTTTTAGGAATACTTGGTTTGTGAGCAAGCTTTCAAACCTTGAATAACCTCACAAATAAATGGCTAAAAAATGAACAACAAGCCCAAGAGGAGTATTTCCTGCACTGGGATAATCATCATCATATTTGTACCATTCCGCCTAGTTTTTGTGTTTTACCCAAAATGCTTAACTTAAAATTTCTTTTCCTGCCCTTTCTCCCCATACACCTGCTGTGTTTTTCAACATGTTCTAGATTTCTCCAATTCTTGAAACAGAAGTCTTGCAGTGGGTTTCAGTTATGGGTACGTTATAAAGGGGTGACATTTGCCATTACCTAGTTTTGGTTTTATTTCCCTGACTATTTTTACTCTTGGGAGTAGAACTTTGAAAGTACTTCTGTAATGGACCCAACACAAAAATGACCCATGAGGCCATACACAAAGCATCTGAATTGATATTTCTTGTTAGTAATATGCAGATAAACCAAAAATTATCCCTTTAAAGACTAATGTTGGCATTACTGCAGAAATAATGGCGTTTTCTACAAAGTCCTTACATAGTCCACAATTATTGCCCATGAAGTAAAATCCTGTGTGTGAAACAAACTGAATGTAAACACATTTGCCGTAAATCAATAAAAATCAGTTTTTTATATATTTGTCCTTCGCATTAATTAGACAATGCATAATTATGACTGGTTTCCATTGTATTTCATAACTTATACTCAGTGAAACATTCTCCTGATAATGTGTGCAATTTTTTAATAATGTAGACCTCAAATCACACAATTCTTTATTGTATTTGGGGAAACATAATTTGGTGAATTATTTAGACATAGTTATGCAATATTAAAGAAATAATGAACTATATAAATTAATAAATTTTATGCTCTGTAACTTAAAGAACCAATTAAACATTGATAAATACTAGTAGTACTTTAAATTCTGACTGCTTTGGATTTTAAAAGTACTTAGCAATATTAACTGAATTGTAATGTAAAAATAAGGGTTATATTCTATAGTCATACTTCATGTATCCCCACTGACTTCAGCTGGATTACATGAAGTAGATGGCAATTAATTTGGCCCTGTATTTATGAAATATTTCAATAATCTTTTAAAATAGTCTACTTCTAAGATGAAGAGGACCTGAGGCCTTTTGCGGTAAGCTTTACTTTGACCGTTTTCACAAAAGCTTGTTTCTTTTCATAATAGGCAGCCTCGTTCACAAACGTTGGGTATACTGTAGAATCCCCTTCATATGCAATGGTTTCTCCATCACAAGTTAAAAATACTGGATCCCCTTTGTTCAATGGCTGCCAATCTTGATCCTCAGAGGAAAAAAATAAATTAAATTTATAGATGCAAATATAATTTTTAAATTCTTATTTGATGTTATAGTATGTCCTATACTGTAATCCAAACAGTATAAAATGGAATTCCCATTAAAAAAAGCTTCAAATGAAGAAGTGTGATAGATTTTACCTGTAGGCAAGGGTGAATAATAGCAATAATGTCATCGTTTTTATTCCTGGGATAGTCTACTTTCTCTATTATTCTGTAAACTTCAATTGTACATGGTGGAAATTCTTCCCCTAGAAAGGATAAATGTATCTTTAATGTCACCTCAAACAATTCTCAGTTAACAAGAACATTGTATGTACTATTTTATTTAGAATGTCTGAAATCAGACAGTTGTATCTGTTCATAGTTTGCTAGTTAGTAAGTATCTTAAGTAACATGGAAGTGTCTGTCTGAAAGTCAGATCGCTGGAAGATGACGCAGTGTGCACTGGCACACACGGCCCATGTCAGTACAGCTGCTTATACTCTATTTTGTAGATAGAGGAATTTTAATGCAATTTCTTTCTTTGGCAGAATTACACAGTATGGGATGATATTGATGGGAACTGTAAAATTCTTTGCTTCAGGTATAGACAAGAGAATCTTCAGGGGACAGGTATATTCTTACGTTGTTGTTGTTTCCATTGAAAACAGTGCCACCCAAGGTTTAGGGACAACTTTTCCAATATAATCACATCTTCATTAATGGTAGTGTAAGAATGATGTGGTAGCTTTGGTGGTCCAGAAATCATTCAAGAGGCAAGGATATCCTAGGGTGATATTTTTTATTGAACGAACTATGTAGCTGGAATAAAGTTAGACAAGCTTTCGAATGCAAGACATTTTGACAGGTTTCTGATAACAGGAAGCCAGGTACAAATCCTTACTTTCATTAATGGATTTGTTCTCATTGCATATTTAACCTTGTATAAGTGCATAATAGAAACTTATTAAACTGCATAGAAATGATTTGAGATAACTCTGTACAAAATACATCTATATAATCTTTTTTCCTTATTATAAATGTTACCATTTTCATATGAGGCTGGTTTTCTATGTACATATTCCTGCACAATACATTGTGAACATATTTGTGAGCACCCACTTTCTCTTTATGAAGCACCTTCCAGATCAAGCTTCATTATACTTATTGGTTCTCAGCACACCAATCGATAAACAAGGGCAATAGTTACTACAAAATTAAAAAATTCCTAATTCAAACTGTTATAAACTACTGCAAGACTGTTTCAGGCTGGACATAAGTAAGACTTTCTTTACTGTCCAAGCCCCCAAGGCCTGGAATAGCCTGCCATTGGAGGTGGTTCAGGCACCTACATTGAACACCTTCAAGAGTAAATTGGATGCTTATCTTGCTGGGATCCTATGACCCCAGCTGACTTCCTGCCCTAAGGGCAGGGGGCTGCACTCAATGATCTTCTGAGGTCCCTTCCAGCCCTAATGTCTATGAAATCTAATATATTATTTATTTTCTCAGTGCGATTAACAAGTCCAACATTCTTATATGTTGGCTTGGCATACTATAAATGTATGAATAGGATTACATGAGACAGTAGCAAGGCAGTAGCAAGAGATGGGACTTGAGACCCTGGGGGTTCTTCCCAGATCCATGTTGCTATGTAACACCATATAGCATGACATTCTGTGGCTGCTTAATAAAATAAGGATTGTAGTTATAAATGCCAATGGCAACATGTTTAAAACTGCTGCCTATGAAAGCTCATGCCTCTCTGAACCAGACAGAAGATGCCTGTGCTCTGGGGGTGGGGATGAGAGGCGCTTTAATTATGCTGAATACATGAAACATGGAGCGCCAATTAGCATGCTCCAGTAGATTCAGTTAATTGAGTCTGCTCCAACACGCTGTAATTACAGTGTGTCAGAGCAGTGTCCCCACACGTCTAGAGGCACACCTTGCCAGACCTTCTGCCTGACTTCAGACTAATGTGGCTAGCCACCTCTCTATCCACAAAAAAGACAATAATCTCAAATCTTTGGTTTGAGTAAGATCAATTGTAATCAATTTATTAACGCCAAAATGAATGAACTGGCCATCAATTCTGCGACAATAATATAAGTTCTCTTTGGTTGAGAGTGAGAGTGTTTTAGCTTCATCTATTAAAAAAAAAAATCTGTTTTCTTGTAATGAATTGCTAGCACAGCCCACAGGAATTCTATTTTTTCATGTTGTACTATTATTACCTTCATTAAAAATGCGCACAAAATCAAGACCATGTTTGATAATCTTCCGCATTTTGTCCAAAATATCAGCTCTAAGAACTCCTTGAGGCTGAGGTCCAACTTCAACACCTGTGCACAAATAGAAGAACTATTGATAGATGTATAAATATCTATGTTGCATATTTAGAATGCATAGTAAAAGTATTCATGCCTCTATACAAATGCCTCTCTGTGTTTACTATACATTGTATATTTAGAATGCTCTTTAAATCTGATTGAGTTTCTGTTACTTCTTCCATAAGGCAAGCAGGATTTGAGTTTATGATCAGCATAACACTTGTAGGCTGAAAAAAATAGCAGTAAATTTTTTTTTTCAGACTGCTCTTAGCTATGGAAAAGATTCAGAACTTCTCCATAATGTCTTTTAGTAAAATAACTGTTTAATTAACATTAGAGGCAAAATAATCCCAAGATTTGTCTATAGGTTAATGTCTATTGCAGTATAAATGAAGAGGCAAGCTAGTTATATTCAGGACACCATTTTTCCTCTTTTTATTTCACCATTTCTTTTTCCATCTGGCTTCTGTATCCTGCAAACCAATTTAAATGGGGACTCGTTAGGAAGCAGAATAGATCACCTATTTACCTAATCAATAGATAATCTATTTACCAAATATTTACCAAATATTTACCAAGCAAATGGATGCCACTGATCACAGAGTATGTACAATTTAATGAAAATTAAGTGTGAAACAAAAATGTCTAGAACAAGACACTTATTGTTCAGTGATCTTAACTTTCATATTTACCAACAGGATGCTTTGCTATAGATCGAGTTGTTGCATATTTCAAGTTAGGATGCTCAATCAGGAAAACAGGACAGCTTTCTGGAGCCAAAGCGTTCTGTGAAGAATTATTTAAAAATGTCTTTGTTATGCAAATATTTAAAAATGCTGTTGTGTTACAGAAGACTACTGATGCAGAAGTGATTTACACAGTGTCTTCAATATGTTGCTTTTATTTCACGGCTCTAAAATAAGTAGGGCATCTTTAGAAAATATACAAAGCTATATTTGTTGGTCTGCCTTCCCCAAGCTCATGCCAGGCATGCTCCACTGAACTTTGCATGCTAATATAAATGAACACAGTTCCAGCCTTAGGTTACCAACAGGAAGAGAAATCTCTAATTTTTGAAAGAGCAGTGTTTCAAAAACTAAAATCAAGCTGCTTTAGCTTAAATTTCAAATATTTTTCTTTTAGTTGAATTTAAATTCTGTTATGAGACACAGTGATTTAATACATTTCCTCAACATGGTTTGGCGTAATGCAGGACTAGGACTTCCTTTTTAGATTACTGCCTATTATTTCTTCTATTGACCTTGCTGCTATACGCCAGACTTCATATGGTTGCAGCAATAAGCTGACTATGTCTTCTAACACTATATAAAAAGAAGAAACATCTTATGTTGAAACATATCCTTAAATATCTTGTCTTGCAGCATATGAATTCAGGGTTGGATTTTCAAAAGTACCAAGTATTGGCCTATCTTTGCTGCCATTTAAAGTTCACAAGAAGACTGCTAAGAACGTCAATAAGAACAGTTAGGTTGCACTTCTGAAAATCCCGTCTCAAACCGGTATCAGCTACATTACCAACAATATTTACACTTCCTTCTAGGACTTGTTAGAATTACAACTAGTATTTATTCCTGGATCTAACTTCATTTATTTTTCATGTTTGTATATTATGTAATTAGCATAATAATTACATAATTACTATACTTATTTTTCCTTTCTCATCTTAATTGATCAAACTTCAGGACAAACCAATATAAAAGCAGGGCAATATTATTTAAGGATTTTGAAGTAGAGGTCACTGTATTTTTTGTCTTCTTTTTTCAGTGGTGTTCCTATCGGTTTTAAAGATTACAACAGATTTAAATCTGTACAATCATATCAGACCAAACTGAATAATAATCTCATATATTAGATAATTCTATCATTAATTTATTTATTTTTATCCAGCTTTTTGGAAAATATAAAAATTACAAATTTTAATAAAGGCATTAAGTTATTATACAGGAACAGAGTTCAAATTATGGGGGAGTTCAGGGGCGGGGGTGAGCCCGCACATAAGCGACAGGAGCCCCTCTGTAAGATTAGAAAATCATAACCTGGGGGTGTCTCTGATTTTATTAAGGCATCATGATGGGCAGCCAATTTTTTTGCAGACACCCCAAGAGTCAGTGTAATTCAAACCCTGTACAGGAATACAGTCTTTCAAATGCATATCAAAATATATATGTAATAGTTTATTAAAAATTAGTTTTACCTTAATATAATGAAACATTTGCATTATAAAGTCATTCCCGGAGTTTTCAAGAATAAGAGTACCACCCATGTTAGAAGTTGTGTTGTGAAGATCAAAAATAAGGTCATAGGCAACATCACTACCTTTTGGACCAAATAAATTATTGATTTCCTGAGCCTTTCTTACTTCATATGGAATATCTTCCATCACTTTTCTGCTGTTAATATTAATACAAAAAGATTAAAGCCATTTTAGGTCTCTGCAGTCAACAAAACTGTGTAATCTTTTCATTTGGTTTTTTTTCCTGATTTAATACAATTGATAATCACCCTATCAAACTGGCTAGCAGGAGTTTGTACTTGATTCAACAGGTATTATTGTTCATGGGGAAATATGTCTTACTGTTGTCCCTTTCAGTAAAATGCAAAATTTGTCACTCAATCTACACTGGTCTTTCCTACTTTGATTTTAATTCTTTATGCTGGCTCCCAGTTTACACTGGCTGAAATTCTCTCTCCCCAGGCAGAAAATCACGACAGGGCTTATCCACCACCTAAAACCATTGCTAGGACCTATCCAACTTCTACTGGAAAGGAAGCCTTTCAGCAGTTAATTCCTACCCTAAAATCATGGACTTCATCAACAAGATCCTTCATAGTTTGCTTCCTTTTCTCTCTCTCTTTTTTTTTTAACTTGCAACCTACTTTTCATACTCTGATCAGGTTCTTAAGACCTTTTGTTTTAGGCCCTCTTGTCCCATAAAACAGCCCATGTGCGTAGACAATCACATTCTTGAAACCATAATGTTGCTACCTGCAACTCTTTCCTTCAAGATTTTGTTAAGTTTCCTCTCAGTAGGCACATCTACATGTGAAATGAACACAGCCAAATAAACTCCGGTGCAGTTCATGCCAGAGTTTATTGCTCCCAAGTGCCGTGTTTGCATGTGCACCTGGGACTGCAGCACACTGAGCCAGGGCACAGCAGCCCTGGCTGGCAGGAGGCCTTGGGGGGTCAGCCTGCCAGCCTGGGGCTGCTCCAACCCAGCTCAGCTTGTGCCCCAGCCAGACCCTCCGCAGCATGACTGCTACAGTCTGGAGCTAGCCAGCAGGCAGCCCCTGCACTGAAGCACCCTTGTGCCCCAGCTAGCCCTATCAGCATCTACACCTGTGTTGCAGCAGAGTAAACAACTCTGCCATAGGATAGTAATTGTGTCCGGTAGTACCATCCTACCCCAGAGCTAAGTAGTTCATTCTGGCCTAACAGCACTGTGCATGTACACACTGACTAAACAGCTCCACAGTAAACATCTCGTGTAGATGTGCCTGGTGTTTTTAAATCAAATGTTTTAAATGTGATTTATTATACCTTGTCAGTTATTAATTTAATTACAAGCAGGCATGTGACATGTCTGATATGGTGTACTTATGTTAATCTAATACATTTTTTAGGTCTGCATTTGAAAATGGATATAAGGTCTCTGGATATAAGAGAAAGAACTAAGTGCTTTCAGCAAAATTACATCCCATTTGAAGTCAATGGGAGTTGTGCCTTTGTGTTCAGTAGGATTAGGGCTTCACCCTCTCTTTTCATAAGGTCTCCACCTCAACTATAAAATGTAAAACAATCTAAATATAGAAGGTCTGGGTGATCTGTTAAGATTTACCGAAGAATATTAGCAAAAGTTTTATATAAAAATCCTTATTAACCCAATATTTATTAAAACATTTTATTTTCAAACCAGGTGAAATTAAATAAATCAGGAAAAATAAGTTGTTCTAAATGCATAGGATAAGTAAACAATTAAAAGGCTGACGCAGAACTTTGCTACCAAATATGATTTACCTTAATTTATGCGACAAGCAATATATATTATCACTAGAAAAAGCCAAATTAAAGTGCACATGAAAATGCACAGCTGCCTTGTAAAAATAGCTGAATGCGTAAAATGTGTGTGCAATAAACGCTCTTAACTTTCATCCACATTTCCTATGAAGACCTTTGCATTACCAAACTGCCTGTTAACAAAGATATGCTAAACATAAAAAAGCTACCAAAGGCCACTTCAAGCACTGATATGTTAACAGAATTAAGTTTTCATGAAAAATAATGTTTACAAATGTAAGTTAGGCCTTTGTAATCTGTACACCTACATTACTTTTTAAACTTCTTTTCAGCTTAATTTAACATACAAAATCCAGTGTGATCACTTATTTCATTGACAATTTCCTGGTACCATGTTGCTATATTGTACATATTTCCATTTTGGCTGTTTTGACATTTCATTTTATGCTATTTATAACCGAAATTAAAAATATTCCTCCAATTTGTAGGACACTTGTAATTTTTCCCAGACACTCAATATATTGATCTTTATTTAAATAACTGTGTGATTTAATATCTGCTACATTGCTGCCAGTAAGGAGCATTAAGAATAGCCCCAAAGCTGAATTGCATAAGATGTTTATTTCAGGACGTGAGAAATGACACTGCAATTCAGGGTAACAGCAGTACTTAGCTTTAGACAAATAGAACAAATCCAATATTGATTTTTAAACACAGTCTTTAAGTTTCTGTGACAGTTTGCCTCCTGTTGCACAAACGCTCTATACAGTGCATCAGCAAAGTACATGCTATTTAGTCTTTTCAGGCTAAAGGTCATGATTGCTTATGTGCTTGAATCCTCACAATAGTAGTAGAGATCATGTTAACATTTTAACAGTAAAATTATGCTATACATGCCTGACAACTCTTAAGGAAAAGATCTAAAAATACACAAGGCACGCTTGTTCTTACCCAAGATTATCAGGGTCAAAAACACGGTTCAGGTCACAGTCAATATATCTAGTACATTTCTTCACAGCTCTTGGGTTGGTAATAAATGGTGTCACTTGGAGCCCTGATCTCTGAATCTCAGCTCCATTCTTTTGCCAATGCTTGACTAGAAATACCCCTGATAACTCATTGCCATGAGTTCCTCCAAAGATAGCAACCCTTTGCACAGGAGCCTCGAGAACAACAGAACAGGAAGTCATTCTGTTAAGCAGCTTTAATGGTTGCTGAAACTGAAACAGAAAATAACAGAAAAGTAAAACTTTTGTTCCTAAGAACAGACAAAAAAAAGTTGACTTATTATCTGAAATCCCTTAAGTCTGTTGAGGTCAGATGTTAACTGAAGTGTATTAACGTTTGTCTAACAGCATTAGCTTTCTCTTACAACATGTGGGTGGTGCTAAGTTGATATTCCTCCCTCTTAAGACCTGCCTCCTTATACCATATTTGGACAGCAATATGTATAAATCAACAAAACATACATTCATAAAGTTGAAAATCTAATTCCTTCAGGCAGCCCATAATGCTATGCAGTAAAAAAATCAAATACTATGCCAATGAAAAACTTTAAGACTTAATTTGTACTGTGAAACAATATTCATACTCCATATGTTCACAATCTCTGAAATTCTATCACTTCAAATTAGACGCACCAAATATAATCCTGCATCATTATATGTGTGCATTATCACATAGCCAGTATAGTAGGAAAAAGTGAAGTGTTTAAAGTGAACAGAAAAAATCCCCAACAAAATACAATTCGTATTCTGATTTAGATATTACATGAGACCCTCCCAAGGATTACAACCTGGAAATGATGGGGAGACTTGTGACCTCAAGAGCGGTGACTTCTGGAGTTTTGACTCCTGGTAGGGTCCCCGTGGTGGCAATAACAAGGAATAATATTTAGACCCCAAGACTGTTAACTAATCTCCAAGTACAATGAACTTCTTAAAGTGTGTTGGCTATATTTTTTACAATTTTATAATGCATATCAGTGAATAGGGGGCATTAATTAAAAATTTTAATCCAGTATGTTCATAACTCTAATGTTCTTAGCCTCAAAATGTCTTTGGGATCCGTTAGCATGGGCTTTGGTATCAGTGCAGATGATTTACCTGGCATTTTCTATTTTTAACTTCTATGATTCTATTATACAAAAAATATGCCTGACTGCCATGCAGCATATAAAATCTACTCCCCAAAATACTTAATAAGAGCCATTCATCATAAAAAGAAGCAAAAGTGGAATCAGCTATTGCAACAGGAGTCACCTCACAGGCAGTGCAGCAGCAACACAGGAGAGAATCACAGCAGCAGTACTCAGAACATAGTTGGTCCAGTACAAGGTATCACTGTAAGAAAGTCTTGCCTCTTCTCAACAAAATAAATGAATGTAGAGGACAAAGGAACACATCATTTATTCTTTCCTTTCCGAATCCTTGCAAGTCAACAACCCGAATTCTTGTAACTGAATAATTGTTCCATAATCTCAACCACAACTACCATTAAGAAATTCCTGAAAGGAAAGCTAGATTAAGCAGCAATTATGTGAGTTTCGTAACACCCTAGGAATGTTTTACATTACATCTTCAAACCATAATGAAGTCTCCTGCAACCCTAAGCTGACTTTGATTCCCCTAGGTGGGTCCAAGCTTTGTGATGTAAGCCAAGAACAGATATACACCCTTGATCTAAAGGCTTCTTTTATGAAGTTGTTGCAACTTTTGCAACTCCTACAGGAGGGGGTGGAGGGGAAAACCCAGGCTAGGAACAGAAATTACGTATAAACCGGTAAAAGTGATCGGAAAATGGTTCAAATCTGTAACACAGCAGAAGTTCAGTGCACATAAATTGCTTTCAAAATGGCTAAAACCATTTTAAGATAAACCTGGATGGAGGTAGTATCAAATTTAACTGATTTAGATTATTGAACTTGTCTCAGATCCCAGTTCTTTCTGTAGGTGGCACTGAGCTTTACTTCTTGTAGTAGCACTTGCCCACCATATAGATACACATAAACATTATGTTTCAAGAGTATAAAAGATACATGTTCGCCAAGATTTGCTTTCCTTCTGTTACAGTTTATATTTCAACAATCAAGCAAAGAGATCTCCAGTCTCTGAGACAGGTTTTATAAGCAAGACAAGATTGATATGCTGTAGATATAAGCAAAGAACGATGAATACAGGATGCACGCAGGACTAAATCTAAAGGTGGTGTATCCCCATAAAAAATGTACACGTTACATTTGAACCCTCGCACGTAGATGTAGTGATCCTTGTGGTGATTCAGTGTGGCTGGACTCTTCATTGCAACACGTACAATCACTTCTACATGTTGGTAAGTTGTCAGTTTAGAGAGAGGGAACTATAGTAAATAATTTATTAAATAAAACAATAGTTATATTTTACACCAAAGACCTGTTTTTACCGTCCTTTGACCCCATTCCCAGTGGTAATGATGCCAAAGCTATTATTTCCACACTGCCTGAACAAATGACTCGCACTTTGAATCCTGTTTTATGGAACGCAAACAGCTCAGCACTTAGGGGAAGTAAACTGTCAAATGCAAATACACAGTGCTAGTAAATCCAGTTTCTCTTTTATTTCTGAATGTCGTATAATGTTTATAATTCCCTGCAAAAGGTTGAGCGAAATAGAGCCGTTGTTTATGCACTTACCTCATTTAACATGCAAGAAGTTTGTCTCGCAAGAAGAGCTTAAACAGAAAAGATACGGTGCATTTCCAGACATGAGTTGAGGACTCAAGCCATGGAGGCTTCTTTTATACCCTTATAACAAGTTAACTTCCAAAGAATTGTTAACTCCTAGTTTCCCAGTACTAATTATAGAGTGGATTTGTGGCCCTACAGAAAAAGAAAACTTTGAGAGGTTTACATTCTTCTTGGTTACAATGCTGGCAACTACGCACAGCTAGGATGTTGGCAACCATCCCTTATTACTGCGTTTCGCCGCTCCCACAATGTATACCCTTGGAAAACGTGTCAGGCAAGTAGTTGGTTTGTTTTAATGCTGCGGTTTATGTTGTTGTAGATTTATTTATTTGGATTTGCAACAGTACAAAAGGAGGCATAGCAAGAAATGGAAGATACCATAATATCATTATTCACGATGACCAACAACGTAGTTTAAAATGTTTTCTAGAGGGGGTCTTCTGTCTGTATTCAAGTGATCCGCTCTAAGGACAGAGAGCAAGTGGATTTGGCAGCCCCCAAATAAAGGAAACGTGTCTGCATTTGCCACAAGTACTAAATTCAGCAAAATACTCAGCCCGTTTTGTGTCTGTCCGTGCTGCCTTGTAGGGGAGGGTATTTGCCAGTTTATTTAATCTCCAGCGTGTCTTAAAAAGCGCTTCTTCCCTAGGGAAAAAATGGTGTAGCCTCTGCAACTCCCACATCTCCCCCCAGGCTAGAAGCAAGGGATGAATTTCATTACTTCAATTAAAACGCAGCCTGAAGTAGGAACAACTACACATGAATGCAGTTTTCCTGTGCGGTACCATTGCAAAAATGCATATATATATTGGTCCACCTAGACCTTCTTCCAGCTCTTCATACTTAGCTGGTTGCCCCATGAAGCCTGCAATACATATTTAAATACTAAACTACTCTTTGATACTGCTTGAACATCTTGTGGACCACGTCTGAGCTGAGGGCAGGGCACCGACCAACTGAAATCAATACGCGATACAATGTAAAATAAAATAACGAGGAGGTCTGAACAAAAATACTGATTTTAGGGATGTATTTGGTAGAAAAAGACAACCACAGATGTTGCGATTTCCTAGTTGGTCTAATAAAAGGTATCATTTCTGAGTTTTCAATTTTTTGCATGCTTATTTGAAGCATTTCCTTTGGATCTGCAGGCATGCAAAAGGATGACTAGCAAGAAAGGGAGGATACGATGATATTGTTTTCAGCCTGTGCTTGGGTTCCTTGATGGTTCGGAGCTTTTTGGGCGCTGGTATATATTTGCATTGCTCAGATAAGCCGCTTGCATAGTTCCTGGTTTATGGAAAGGATCCAAAAAAACCCCAAAGCAAAGGAAGAAGCCCAAAGCTGCGGTTTAAAGCAGAGCTGAGTGGCTGAGGGAGAAGCCTGCGCGAGGCTGAACTTGGGATAATGTCGGGGCACGTCTAATGAGTTAGAAAAAAGGTTGCTCGGGGCGGGGGCGTTCATTGCTGGCTTCTGTGGGGACACGAGCGAGGCGCAAAGAGAGAGTCAAGGAAAGCGTCCAAGCCAGGAGCGCTGTGTGTCGGGGGAACGAGGCACCCCGCGGGGCTGCCAGCTCGCTGCGTCCGCGTTGCGGCAGTTGGCTTTTTGGCGGGCTTTTTAAATCGACCGCCTCAGCCCCATCTCTTCACCCAGGACAGGGCTTTAAAGCCCGTTTATTACTGTAGTTCTCCCCGCCCCCCACGGGGAAGGGTGTTTCCCTCAACACCTCCTGCAGCTGCCTTCTCCCGCACACCTTAGCTCTGGATAGATTACCTTTTTTTTTACCTGAACCCCAAGACAGAAAAAATACTTCAACCCCGCCTCTCTGCAATCACACAAGAAGAGGAGCTGGGTTTATCAATTGAAAGGACAGGTCTAGTCCTTTTCTTCCTCCAGCCTCACAAGTGTGTTTTCCGCAATGGGTTCTAGTCCCACGAAACCTAGTTAAAATGTGGGTTATTATTCCAGACTTAAATGCACATCAGTTACTGATATCTAGGGTGGCCATCATAGAGGTTTTCTGCTCCTCTGTCCTCTACTGATATGAAACCCGACACCTTTATGTCCCCTATTTTTGTCTTCAAGAGAAAAATGGAGGACATAAAGGTGTTGAGTTCTGTATCAAGAGGACACGAAGGCGTCAGGTTGTCCTCTGTCTTCTGTTGATACGAAACTCGACAGCTTTATGTCCTCTATTTTTCTCTTCAAGAGAAAAACAGAGGACATAAAGCCGTTGGGTTTCATATCAATAGAGGACAGAGGCCAACCGGACTGTCCTCTACGACGGCCGCCCTAGTTGGGAATGGTTTCGATGTAGTTGATCTTAGCTCTAAGGGCAGGAGAGAGGACTAGATCCACTCAAGGTTTCTTTCAGCCCTATTTCTATGATTTTACGATTCATTTTCACAGGTTGAGAGGGAAACTAATTTCATAGACCAGATAAAACTTCGGCTCCAATTCATAACCGTAAAGCATTTCATTTTCAAAGACTTGTAAAAATGTCCCTTTAGAGTCATAGAAAATGAGGGCTGGAGGGAGCCCAGGCGGCCACATCCAGTCCAACCCCCTGCTCCAAGCAGGACCAGCCCCAACTCCATCATCCCAGCCAGGGCTTTGTCTAGCCGGGTCTTAAACACCTCCCGGGATGGAAATCCAACCATCTCTTTGGGGAGCCTGTCCCAGCATGTTACTACCCTCCTCAGGAGAAAGTTCCTCCTAACATCTCACCTCAACTTCCCGTGTCCCTTGCTCCTTGTCCTGCCATTTGCCGCCGCTGAGAACAGTTTAAACATTTGAATGGGTAATGCTTTTTCCACTCAAAGCTGAGTTTTATTTTTGAAAGTTGACATTTATTTAAAGTAAACCAAGAGAAAATAATGTAACTAGGACAAAATATTTCCTTTTCAATAATGTATTGATTTGTAGTGATGTACTCCTGTACCTAATTGTAGGTCCCCAAACAGTCCCAAAATGGTCAAATGAGTTTACATCCATAGGTAACTATATATAGGCAAAGGTAAGTATATGCCTAAATTAATATAGATAAAGAATTATACAAATTATTAAATGGGATTACTGAAAAGCTGGTTGTATTTAGAGCGCAAGTCAGAGTTTATTTTTTATACAGGTAGACGTAACTGAAATAAAACTTCCACAGGCTGATCCTGGAATAGTTAATACACGGTTGCTTGTTTGGATATTGTGAAAGCAATGAAGAGGAATTTAACTGACAACTCAACTCGTAGTGCAGCAGGTATCAATCGCATTATGATTTTCTAGCTTTCAAACTGTTCTCATTCGGTACCCCCGGCCCTGTAACCGCACGCTGCCCGCGTAGCCACGAGTTGAGATCCAGTCACTGTGTATTTTTGTGTGTGCGGGCCACAGCGTCAATGCTGAACTTAGCAGTCACGGAGTGAGAAAGCTAAGCGCATGCACACTTTTGTCATCACTGGGGCCTGAGATAACAAACTCTTCAGGACAAGGGACTTGTCTTTGCTTATGAAGGACCACACACACAGGCTGCTACCCAATAAGTAAATAACAGGAAGATGTGTTAAGCAGTCACTTTTAATGCATGTTATTAATGCAAAGGACAGATTTTTTTTATCTCTTTGGAAGGATTTAAGTGTTTTTTATTATATATGATGATGTGTTTAAATTTAATTTTAGGTTGTTTTCCTGTGCCACTGTTCAATCAGAGAAAAAGGAATAGACAGCCCCTAACTTCAAATCCGCTTAAAAATGAGCCAAGTACAAGTTCCACGACGCATAGCTATGACTTTTCTCCCACAACAATGGGTAAAAAATATAATTTTATTAACACAGCAACTAAATACGTTTTAATTTCATTTTAATACTTGCTAAAATTCGAAGTCTTCTTTATCTAGAGCTCACAAGCACGTTTGAGTTTTTTAAAGAAAAATATGTTCTAACTCTTCTGTCCTCTGGGAAGCTTCTTCCCTCTATACAATTGAGCCCTTTTACTGTATGCCTTCAGGGAAGTGGACTTTTTTTGTTCTGTTTTAGAAAATAAAGTAGCTTGCTGGCATTTAAATGGAGCCTCTTGAAACTCTGACCTTTTATTTTCAATTGATTTCGATCAAAATTCAAAGTCCATGTTACAGGCTCAATCATTTATAATGTGCTATTGTAGTAATTGTAGAAGAGAAATAATCTGTCTGCCATACTCTGTTTTGAAATGATATAAAATTCTGCCAGGTTTAATTATTGCTATCATTGTTATCCTGCCTATTGTTGCTGAAAATACAACTTTCTTTGTGCTTACCGGAGATAATTCTAATACTTGTAGTTTAGGCATCAGCTTAGAAAAATGTTAATTAAAATTCATTTTGAAATAAAGTTATATGTAATTACAAATATCAAAGACCTAGCTTCTCCATTGTTTCCAGTGAGACTACTTATGTGAAGCACGTACACAGTCTTTTGCAGATAGTCTTAAACATATATATATATATATATAGAACATATCAGTGTTTTGGGGTTTTATCCATGTGCAATCCTTTTCCTTTTAAGAATCAGGCTGGAAAGTTGCAAAGCCAGAGGTCCCTCAGCTACAGAAAACAGTACACAGTGGGTACGTAAAAATTAACTTTTTTTTTGCCTGCTTGTTCTCATTTAGAGAATTTTACTCATTTGTTTCATAAAGTTCATTTCACAAGTTTACCATAATGTTTAGCCTTACCACGTTTACCATGTTTAGCCTTATAATAAGGCAGCTAGTATGTCATTCTGACATTTAAAATATTTCTTTGAAAGCCAAACAGAACATCTTGTGGCTCCTTTGCTGTTAAAACAAAACACATCAACGTGTAATGTATCAAATGTTGGAAAGAAACTGTATACTTGGAGGTTGGTCAATTCTAGAATTTAATTTTTTTCTTATAACGCACACATTTACATCTTTTGCAGAGTCGGACCTAAATAAAGAAATGCTTTATTTATAAGCAGGAATTAGCAGAGAGCCCGTAAAACACCCGGCATAAAACAATTCCATAAATCATTTGTTGAACTGTTTTTTCATATTTCAGATGAAATTGCTTAAAAATAATTTTTAGTTGCAAAATTTGGATTTGCTAATCCACGTAGCCATGGATCCTGAGAAGCTTCAGATAAAGACTTAAAAAAAAAAAATGTTCTGGGCACCTAGAAGGACCCATTTTTGCATCCTCTTTATAGAGTATATCATGCCATATGTTTTTAGGAAAAGCTACTCAAAAATACTGAGTCCAGCTTAGAGACGGTGGAATTGAGTCTGATATGCAGGACTCTTGTTGATTTCAGTGTGGACCCGCCACAGAAAAAGGCCAAAACATTAACATACATTTTTCCTCAGTTATCCTATCGACTTAACACAGATTTTAAGCAAGGGTAATTCATTGCCTATTGTCCTTCCTGAAAATGTTTAAGTCGATTTTTAATTTTAACAGGAAATTCAGTTATGAGCCTTAATGCAAATGCTTGTGGCTGTCAAAGCCACACATCCCAGGGGAATGCTTTTACTCACTGAACAATTACATTTTTTCCTCTTTCCAGTAGCAAGACCAGAGGAAGAATGAATGTCTTTTTGACAAGATCTCCCTAAACCAAACCTCCAACAAGCATGACTAGAGATGGGAGCAGACCATGTGCTTCTTTGATGAAGTGTGGGGTCTTAGAAATGTCAGCCCTAGAGCCTTTCCAAGGAGAGATTTCTGAACAGTGATTGTAGGGTGGGATCCTGAACAGAGGATCCTTTCATATCATTTGCAGAATTTCCACATAAAATCTTTAAACACAAGAAAATCATCAAGGTCATCCATCATCATTGTCTTGAATAAGAATCAACGTGTTTAAATGCCTGTTGGGTCTAAAGAAATAGACATTTTTAAAAGGAGGTTACAGAATTATCCATAGAATGCATGTAATTACATCTGGAATACCAAGACTGATGTTTTACAGATATTGTGATTTTTAACCATAAATTATTTTGTACTGCAGAGCAGAAGAAAAGAATATCAACACAAGGGTTTGGAACAGAAATAAGTATATGCCTCTAAACAGCACATCAGATTTAATATCTGATAGTGAAATAATTCAGAAGTTTGACAAAATTTCCAATACTTTGAGAACTGTTCAGCAGCACAAACCTGACCATAAGGCATCACAGCATGCAGAGACAACAGAAACGGGACAAATGGACTCTGTCACAGCACAGCGGTCAGTTAAACCGAGCACCACGTCAAGAAGTTTACAGGATCATAGTCTGGCATATAAATTTAAACGCAATTTTCCACAAAGTAAAGTTAATGACAAACAGTTTGATCATGTCCCAGAAGACAACACTATTCAGGTAAAAGCTTGGGGAGAGGAAGGAAGGAAAAACTGGAAATCTGTTTTCTGTATTAAAATAACTTAAAGTCTCCTGGTCCTTGCAGAGAGTTACCACTGCTCCCTCTGTTGTCTCTCTCTGCTTCTCTCTGATATGCACCCACATGCACGTGCACCCCCACCCACAACTATCTGTCTCTCTTTCTAAACTCCTCCTGTACCCTATACACATAAGTTCGACTCACCTGCTCGGCCAAACAGCATAAATCAAACCCAAAAAACCCCTGATATTGATTCTGTAGCAAGTTTGGGCCAACTGCGACTTGTGACTTCGTTTCACTTCACTGGCCAATGTGAAGTAGATAGTTGAATCCTTATAAACAAATCCAGGGGTTGTGGCCACCCCTTCCTTTGACAGCGCTGCATGCAGGCAGTGCACTCTGCTGCTGAGAACTCCCTGGTTTTGGCTGCGGGTCTCTGCTGCCAGTCACCCCCCAAACCACCGAGCTTTCTGCCACGCTCCCCTTTTCAAACTCCTGGATCTGCTCCTGAAACTAATTATCCAAGTACATTTATATTAGTTCTTTGTCTTGCAAGCAATGGTTTTCCACTTGGTCTGGTTTACTAATCCATCGAGTGCACATGCGAAGAACTATCAAGCCCTATTTATGTTCTCTATGAGAAGTAGATTTTGGAGCTGCATTACTAAGTCACATAGGCATTTTTGAACATATAACCTTTACGTATGATCTTCATTCTATGAAATGCCATTGACATGACTGTGGATGTGAAGAAAAGTGTAATGCCATTATTTTTATTGGAGGATATTTATTTATTTGAACTGGAAAATATTGTATAATATTTCTGTGATATAAAATATTTGGATAGTGGATCGTGGGGACTTCATAAATCTAAATAAATAATACTAAGTTTCAAATATAAGATAATGCACATTGCAAAGTATAATTACCTGTCTAACTTAAAATAACTTAAAAGACTGTAAACGTCTCTATTTAACTAGAGTTTTCTTCCTCCTTTGAAAGAAAGTTCCAGCAAACCACTTAAAACTTAAAGAAAAGGACAATTCTCTGAGAATTATATCAGTAGTTATTGAGAGTATGAAGCACTGGAGCCAGTACACTTATAAAACTCCACTACTGTTTGAAGTGCTAGGTATGTATAATTCTTAGTGTCACTGCTGAGACTCCAGGGCAATCCCATAAAGACAATGGAGCTTTTATTATACGGAGACTATGGGCCAAAATATATAAAGAAACAGACTTTGTAAATGTTGAATTACTTGCTTTTTGCATGAGCCCTCATTTTACCTTTATCCAGACTTCAAACGTGACCAAAATCTGAGCATGACAAAATGGAAAGCATAATCAGCTTACAAAATTTAAGTTTTCCTCATCCTAAAATTTCTGGTAGCGTCTTGGTGTCTGTCATAATGGTTTCTAGAAAGGATCAGGGCAATATTAAATGAATTGTGCTAATCTAATCAATGATTTATGCTGAAATAGAGAAGGGAGGAGTTTCAAGGAAATAAGAACTCTGGTGGGTAGCAGTTGTGCAAAAGCAAGTACAGCTCGATTTACGTGGATCCACAAGGTAGGGAGGGATAGAGGCCAGCACTTCATCAAAGAGAACTGCCAGAAAAGGGAAGCGGTTAGTCTAGCTATAGAAACTGCCCGTTCACTGAAGTTTTCTTACTGGGCTTTAAATTATAAGTATTCCTCCCGGCTTAATGGGTTTGGCTGACGTGAGATGGTGTACTTCACCTCTGTGGCAGTCTTCAAGGAATTATACCCAATAGGATCTTTCTGTAGTTTAGAAAGCTGGAGCAGAAATGTATCAGTGCAACTTGGGAGCTTGTTTGTAAAACCTGAAGTCGTTGAGAAAAGGATGAGTTAGCAAAAATGGCATCCTTAACCCCAACGAAAATCACACTCTTCAAAAGGCCTTTGCAACGTTGTTTAGTTGGAACACGTATTGGAAGGAACCCCTTGGATCGTGACATCCAGTCCCCTCCAATGCATGTTTATGCATATTTTGGGATATATTGATTTGAAGTAAGAATAGTTAACATAGGTGAACCATGATACAACGTGCTAGTCACAAAACCCTGCTTATCAACAGTCTAGCAAGCCTTGTATGTCACCATAAATCAGTCAGAAAAATGGGTTTTAAGCCAGCAAACAAACATAGGATTATTCAATTTTTCTAAAGAATTAACATACTTAAAGCTGGAGACATTACTGAAGCTAGGAAACAGAAGAGAGTTATACTGAATAACTAAACTAGCAAAGGAATCCGAGTTTTGCAATAATCTTTACAAGAATTAATTTAGGAAACTTTCTAAATTTAAACTATTATGCTTGCAATGTGTTAAACTTTTCACTTTTATTGGCGTTACCTAAAAACAAGCCGGGACAAGAAAGATAGAAATGACTAATTGTTTTCACAGTGAGGGTGATCAGGAATATCACAAGGAGTGGGAGTTCAAGAACCTTGCATATTGAACGTACTAGTTAGAAGTAAGATGTTGATGTTTAGAACTAATTTGCATGTAAGGATAAGTCCAGTTTAAAAAGATTCTCTTTCAGGCTTTTAGCCTGGCAAGAGCCAGCTCACAAGGCTGCTCGTACACGCTTGTTTACTCACTTCCCCGCGACAGCGTGGGAGTTTATCGGGAGTTGGCTCTAGGAAGACCTTCAATTGCATTGAAACGCCCTCTCATGTCAACAGCTCTTGTGCGAGGAAGCTAACATTAATATATAGCTTGTTGTTTTTGGCTACTAAATATTAATGTCACCTTATCTTTTAGATCACGGCATTTAGTACTGATCTGATACTTACATCCTGATCTATCTCTTGCCGGATTGTTTAGGCACACTTGATTCTGCAGTCACACCTGGAGCATTTGGAGCAAAGAATTTTCTTTTGAGAGATAAAAAGGAGAGTCTGACATGTGTATTTTATGAAATTGTAAGTATTTTCCATGTTTTTGTAGAATATACCAAATATGGTGCTGTTAGGGGCTCATTGTATATATTTAATAAAACTAAGTTCTAAAGTATGAAAAATGCAAAAAGCCCTATTATGTCTCCCTCCAAGTGAAAGAAGTGGGGTTCACAAATCTGTGGTAGTCATGCTTGCGGTTCAGGAAAGACCAGGCTCCTGTGTCACCAAAACTGTGGAAGATATTTCTAGCAATGTCTAGTGACTTTCTCAAATCAGATTAATGTTGAAAATAATCCACTGGGATCTTGGAGGGAAACAATTGCAAAGCAGAGGGAGCATCATTCATTCTTGAAAATGTGGTTGGTGTGCATTTTATTTGTAGGATAACATACCACAACCCTGTGGTGCTGCTGAGCTTTTCAGCACCCTGTAAAACAGGGGGGATGTCTGCTTGGATCACATGAGCACCACTTCCTAGCACTGACAAGCATGACACAGCCCCAGAAAACCTCTAAGAACTACACTTACCCTTAAAAAATGTTGAACTTCTCGGTTCAGGCAGAAAAGGGAGATCGTTTTAACTTTTTGATTATTTTAATTTTGAAAAAGGATCGGGAGCTTCCAAGATTAATTAGAGGTCGAGTGCACAGGTGCATGGGAAACTACGACACAAAAAAGAACATCTTTAAGTGTGTTTCTGTAAGACCTGCAACGCTTGCAGAACAGCAGACTTTCCACGAATTTGTCAGGATCACAGATGTCGAGATGGGAGAATATGTAAAAACAATGAATGAAGTTTAAAGTAATTCTAATTCCCGTAGTAGTTTAGAGTTGAGATTAGACTCTTGTTGATCTGTTAGCATACCTGCTGCATATCTTGACACATTTAACAAAGCTCCTTTCAGCAGTATAGGCAACACTTAAAAGTACTGTCATACTGTGTGCTATATAAAAATGAAAATATCATTCTGGTTTGTCTTGGCATATCCTCATTTATCTGTCATGGATTTTTGTTGTGCAATGTATTATATTGTACTGAAAGAAACTGATGAAAATTAAAACACAAACATTAAAATATATGGTTTTATACTAATTGTGCATTGTATCTAAGATGGGCCAAATTGTATCCCTGCATGAGAGCAAAGAATGGATTTATTAGTGCTATCAAGGAAGGTGGGGAGAGTGTGCCATTCATTTCACTGTCATTCCCTCACCCTCTGTGGGTACAGATTTAGTATCACTTTGCATTATGAATCTCAGCAGCTAGAAGTGGGATATTTGTATCCCTCTCTTCCACCACCTCTACAGGCAATCCAGTCAAAAGTGAATGCCACGGCCCCTTAAGGAGTGTGTTACCATGGCACCAGAGGGCCACTCCATCAAGTGCTTAGCCAGTAAGTGCTTAAATCAAAAGATTTAAGGGGTTGAGACCCAAACCCCTCCTTTTCTGAGGGAAACCTATCTAGCAAAAGAAATGACCTTCGTGGATACTTACTCGTATTGACGCAGAGCACAGTGAGATTGCCTTGTGCGGATGGTCAGAGCAAAGCCTCTGCGCCACTTTAGTCCTGTAAAATAGGAAGTTGTCAAAAACTTGTCACTGGCACTGCACGTGGGCTGCAGATGTCGCCTTCCCTATTCTGGCTCCACCAAAACCCATTGAGAAGCTCTTCTACAGTCGCATGTACAAGGCACTGCAGTCTGTCTGTTTATCTAATTCTCTGGTCCCTATTACTCTAGTATTTGATGACCTCGGTATTTCCCTATATTTATCCTCACAACACGTACGTGACGGAAGGAAGCACACAGACACCAAACATGAACTGCCCAAAGGCAGACAGAAAAGCCTGGGAAGAATGGGGAACTGAACCTGGGTCTCTTGTAGCGCAGGGCCGCATCCTGACCACAGGGGCCATCATTTGTACAGGCCTGAGGTCAAGGAATGAACATTTACATCCAGGCTCCCTTCGGCCTCTTCTCTTAAAGTAACTGCTCTGCACCAAATTGGACTAGATTAAAAAACAAAGATGAAGTCAAGAAAATAGTGAACATGAATTATTTTAATATACAGTGTTGGCAGTTGTAAACTTCACATTTAAAATAATTGAAATATTTTATTCAACAAGTCAAATACAGAAAACAGTTAATATTCTAAAAAGGAGCCAGCTAGTCAACGCAGAAACACAGTAATGGAAAATACAGCTTTTCATTACACTTAAAAAATTATATATTTAGAATAAAACTTGAACCTGATCCAGTAAATTTTGTTTGTTTTTTTTTAACAAGAAAACTATTATACACCATTTAACTCGCAGACAATCCTCATTTAAAAAGTGATCTATCAGTGTTAGCAACATTCTGCGGAGGCTCTGCAGCCTATGCTTCCCCGACTCTGGTCGGAGTCATTCACACTGAGCTCTATCTACTCTTGTCAGTGGCTTGGAACACGCACCTGACATGGCAGTTTTGTCCACCCATGTGTAGACGGCATACAAATTGACACTATTTCCTCACAGGCCTTAAAATGATATAAAGTTCAAAACAGAGGCATCTGTTTCTCTTTCAAAAAATGGAGATCATCCCAGAAAACATGTTCAGGTTTTAGTTTGATTATTGTGTTAGAAAAGTGGAATGATTTTGTAAAAAGGAAAGCGTTTGGTACAGCGAGGTGGTCAATCAACAGAACCCTTGGAGACAGCAGGCTGGAGTTACCAAGGAACTTCCGCCTGGAGCCAAGACTGCAAACGCTTGGACGTGCAAGTAACTTCACTCGCATGTACGGTCCTATCAGTGCCAAAGGAATGAGTCCCGCTTCCAACTCTGCACAGATGACTAACACTACAGTAATAAGCAATGCCGGGAGTGGGTTCCAGTTGTCTGCTGGACTGACCGATGGGCACGGACATAAATCTAAAATAATCTGACTTTGGAGTAAGCAGTTAATTCTTTGCAAGAATGCTCTCTAGTTTACACTAACAAATCACTTTTCCTAGTGAAACATTTAGTGAACAATTGTAAACATTACACAAAACAAAACCCCTACAGAATACATTTTATACACATTGTACAACATTTTCAGTGGTTGATGAGAATTTTTATTTTTTTTTAGTTCTTGATCCTGTCTTGTACATTTGTTCGATTGTAAAGGCACAGGTTGGTTAAGAAAGAAAAGCCTGCATCCCTCTCTCTCTCTCTTTCTCTCTCCTTTGTGGTTATGATTTTCCATTGACCTGTCTTAATTTTTTCAGTCTTTACCTTCTTAATTTTATATGAAACTTTCCAAACTATTCCAGCAACATATGAGAAGAAGAGCATAAGATGCTAATAAGAAGCACGTGTTATGTACAGAGAAGACTGAAATCTATCCCATTTACTTTCGGAGGGCAAAGGACATCCCCTCAACCTCATATTTGTTACCCATGTAGAAGATTTCATTCCCAATTGAACTTATGCTATGACCAAAACCACACAGCTCTCTCCCAATGTACTTGGTTCTGCCTTCACATCTGTATTTCCCAATATTAGCCGTGGAACTTAATGGGCATGATTTGTCCTTCGGGGCGCAAGATGTAACAACAAACTTGTTCTGTAGAAAATACCGCACACCTCTGTTTGAGCTCAGAAGGCTTACGAATGTAACCACGATTTCTACAGCACTTTGATACATCCTGGAATAAAATTAAGTGATTGTTCTGCCTGGTCTCATTTTCTAATAAATACACCCTCGGTGTTTCTCCATCTGTCCCTTCGCACACCTTTTTCACAAAAGAAGAAGTTCACGAATAACCAGTAGTTGGGCTCGTGTAGTTAGTGAAAAAGCATGATTAATCTGATCAATTAAGTTACGTGACAAGTTACAAACCTGAAAAGTAAGTTTCAGAATTACAATATTTATTAAAAGAGAACTGAACATAATTATGATACCAAATAAATGATGATCTCTTGACACAATGAAAGGATGGGATTTGATTTTTATTTTCAGTGAGGAACATGGAGATGGAGCAGGATTAGAACCTAATTATTCTTTTAATTAAGGCAATTGGTGCATTTGTTTGAATCCTTGGTGGTAATGAAGATAAAAATGCTACTGCTGGAATTAGACTTCATAAATTTCACACAAAAAATACCCATCGTCTATGGCATTTTCCTAGTCAACATTAAATTTAATGTCATGTCGTCGGAGTCTGCCATGTATACTCGTGTCAAACAGCATGCGCTCCACAATAAATCACACTCTTGTGGAAAAAGATACTATTCAAAATGAGTGGGAATATGAGAATCTTGTCCATTCTGTCTGGCATTTTGATGAACCTTTGTCATGAGGCAAACAGGGTTTGTTAATGAAGTCTTTACCCCTCAGATTTAAAGAAACAAAAGCGAGCCAAAAGCAATTATAATTCAAAGGCTTCCGCACAACTATACGCGAATTAGAATCTAAAAACTGACTAAACAAACGCACTTGTTACGTATACTTATTTTTCTGCTTTAAGCTGTTATGTTGGTATTGGGCCCTTTGAAATGGTTAGATCTCTTTAACAAAAAGGTTGCTAAAATGTATAGCGGTCACTACGGAGGCTATACGTCCCAATTATTAGATGGGTACAGAAAAGTGTGCCTAGAAATTACAATCTTCAGGCACACAACTAGCATGCATTGATTAAAAAAGACATTTTTCTTGCTTACAATGTTTGTCATAGATAACAAGCTTCATTTTACACCCTTATGCTAGCAGGAGCTTATCTACTCATCATAATTATAACAAAATACCATCACTGGATTTAAAATGATTGGGTTCATAAAAGTTCTGACATTGAATACTATATAAAAGTGAATTGAGGCTTTTAAAAGGTTTTGAGACATAAAAGAAACTGTTTGGGAGGTAGACAGATGTTTTGAGGATAAACAGATTTTTTTTGTCTAAGGCATTAAGCCATTGTATATTTCTAGCAGTATACAGGCTGCTAATGAATCTTATTCAATTCCAGAGTGTTAGCGTCTCATCGTGACGGAAGACTATCAATGCACTTTTGGTCTCTGAGTCTGACCCTCTCCCCTTCCCCGGTCTTCAATTTTGTGTGTTTTGTTTTTAGCAATACAGCTAAAAGGAAGTGCTATATAATACTTGCTGCCTATGGATTGCAGACAGGAGCGTTCTGCTGTCAAATACGAATAAAATACTATAAAATAGTAGGTATCGGAGTTGGAGATATGTGCTCTTTTGGTGCATATTTTGCAAAGAATGGTAAAAAGACAGACAACATGACTCCAACAATGGCCAGCATATACCCCCATCCAATCTGGCAGTCTCCTGCATAGTAGATTGCTGAATTCTCGCAGAATTTCTTCACAGTAGCAGAGTTGAGACCGAAAGGATAAACCAAGAGCCCGGAAGCCATGATGAACACTAGGGAAAAGAGAGAGAGCAATGTTTGTTAAACATGACGGTTCTTTGGGGAAATGAGTCTTATTTTAAGGCAGCAGCTATTGGTTCGATTAATGTCAACGGCTAAAACTCCACTGGCTTAAAAAAGATGGATTTGTCTTGGAAGTCTTGTTTCTTTTTATTATGAACTCCTTTGGAGAGCCATGCTGCAATCTGGTAGCACGTGGCCATACCATGGAGACTATTTCTTCGTCGTTACGGTTAATCGTTGTTTGTTCGGGGTTTATTGTGTGTTTTGGTTTTTACCCAACCCCCCAGTTTTGGTGATCCACCTCTACGATAACCCACGTATTGAACCATCTCTATTTCTGCAAACTTGAAACTGCTTGCTGTGGTTCTCCAAGGTGAAAGTTTAAATCTAAGCCCTTTGGCATACTGTTCAGGGCCAGATTTTGCCGTGGTATGTGAGCACAGATGTACTACAGTCAACTTGTACAGAAAAGACTTGGCCTTAATTTTCATTTGGCTGGTTCTGTAATAATCTCCATCACATCCTCATCTTGGCTTCTAGCATCTCACCACGCGTGGAGATAAAGAAATGGACAGAGAGTTTGGAGCTTGGAAATGTACTGGACTAAAATTCCACGTATCAACCATATTTTAATATTTCTTTTCCGAA